GCGCGCCAGAGCTGCCCCGAACCCCGACTGCCGGGCCCGCGCCCGCCACCGCCACCGCGGCTTTCACCTTTGAATGCGGACTGGGCCCTTTGACTCGGGGGCAGCTGCAGGTCCTGGGGTACAGCCGGGGTGCTCATCGTAGCCTCGGGTCGGGGGATGCGTCTCAGCTTTAGCGCCTAGATATGACTTGCTCAGACCACCGCCGCCGCACACTGCATACGCCGGCCGCTGCTAAGCACTCAGACGGCGCGGCTGCAGTCTCCGCCCATTGGCTCCTGCGTGAATTGAATAAGCCAATGGACTTAGAGGGGCGGGGCCTGGACTGCAGTTGCTCAGGCTGATCTGGTGTCTGCCCAGTTCGGTTGGGACTGAGTCTGCAGGTTTCAAACCTAAACAGCGCTCTTCATCCTGGACGTGCGATGGGGGAGGAGTCGACCTGCTCAGTCCCCACGACATAGCAGGACTAGATTGACAAACAACCGAGATGGTACACAGTTCCATGTGAGTCCCTCACAGTCTGGAGAAAGGCAGATGAGAAAAAGACAAAAAAAGTGTTGATTGGCTGCCCTTCTTATTAAACAAAGGCGCGTTCACTGACGAGGACGTAAACACCGATCTGGCGTACCACGAGCATGTGTATATATTTCACAAATATTGCTTCATTTTGAGCATCATAACTCTGAGGTGGGACGTTATCACCACTTTTTCCACTGAGAGGTGACAGGTTCAGAGGTTGTCCACGTTTGCACAGCGTGTGAAGGGGAACTGAAATTGGGATCTGCTTTCCATATCTTTATTCTAAGCAATTATCAAATGCAAAAAAGGAAGGAGAGGAGGAGAAATGGAAAAAATGAGGATAAACCTTATCCCCTCCTCAAGGTTATATATAATTATCCTTTGAAGATAAAATAGCATTTGTTATAGACGTTTTGTGTTTGTGCGGTTAAGTGTGCTGCCATAATCTTTTCATTTTTCTCATCTAAAAATACCACCTTCATAAAACTCACACAAACACCCAATCCACATGACAGAACGAAACAAGTCAGGGCTAGAAGGTTTTAAGGGTGGCAGTGGGGAAGTGAGGGCGAGTCTGGACTGCATCTGCCTGGTTTCAAGCACTGGGTTTACATTTCTTGCCTGATCACTGCAGTAAGGCTGGATTGGACTCTTTCACCCAGATTTTAGGTGCTCCGGGAACACAGACGGGAGGATGCGATTTCCAATCCGTTTATCCTTCCCAGGTCTGAGGGCCTCCACAGCTGGCCCTTGGCTGTGGTCAGTTTTTCCCACTTCTGCCTGTTTTTTCTTAAGACATCTTATGGTAGCATCTTGCTAATGAGCAATTTGGTTTGAGATTTTGTGTAGTTTTCTACATGATGAAATGTCCCAGTTTTAGTGTAACAGTATCCATCACCATCCTTAAGATATCACTGCTGTTTAAATACTTCTGTCAATATTGTTGATTATTTACTAGTTTCATCAGACAGGTGGAGGTAACCAGGGATTTCTATTAACTGAGAACAAAATACAGTGTTAATAAGTGACTCAAAAACCTCCAAAACATTATGCTAAAAGAAGTAATATATGAAAGGTTACATATGGTATGATTCCATTTATATGAAAGATCTAGAGTAGATAAATCCATAGTGAAATAACTCAGAATAGTGGTTGCCAGAGGCTGAGGGTAGGGGCAGACTTGGGAGAGACCACTTAATGGATAAGGGATTCATTACCTTGAAGTAAATGAAATGTTTTGGAATTAGAGGTAGTGGCTGGGCGACATTGTAAATGTATTAATGCCACTGAGTTGTTCACTTTAAAATGGTTAATTTTATGTTATGTGAACCTCAATAATTCTTTATAAGTGGGCATGGTAAAAAAAGAAAGTGATTTAAAGGATACCATGGAGATCTCAGTAGGCTGAGATGGTGAGTAGGAAAACCTGCAAAACTGCTAGGTTTCCCAACATGGCAATTCTCCTCTAATCTCCAGACTCATCCACTCCAATGATGGTCTATTTTTGAGACACTTTTTAATATTACTGCCACACAATTATTGGAGAGAAAGCAGATCCTTTTCTAAAAGATCCAAAAAACAAAAAAGGAAAACAAACAAAACAAAACAAAAAAAGACTTCCTTTCAGAACGGTTCTTTGCCAACACAGCTGACCATGAAACTACAGGCACCTGGAGTATTGATTAATTAGTGTTAGTTGTTCCTCCTGTGGTCATGTGAAGAAAAAGTACCTGTGAGAGAACAGGGAAGGACAATCTGAAAGGAGGACAATGGGGACACAATGGGGTCACAAAGTCTGGGGAAGAGAGAAGCTGAAGAAAGAGGTAATGGACCACAGTGTTGGGCACTACAGAAGTCTAGCAGGATTGGGACTGAAAGCAACCATCTGATTCAGAAGGTGGGAGGTCCTGGCAAAAACATCCTGGGGATGGCTGGGCGTGGTGGCTCATGCCTGTAATCCCAGCACTTTGGGAGGCCAAGGTGGGTGGATCACCTGAGGTCAGGGGTTCAAGACCAGCTTTGCTAACATGGTGAAACCCCGTCTCTACTAAATATACAAAAATTAGCCGGGCATGGTGGCAGACGCCTGTAATCCCAGCTACTCAGGAGGCTGAGGCAGAGGAATCGCTTGAACCCTTGAGGCAGTGGCTGCAGTGAGCCGAGATCGCGCCACTGTACTCCAGCCTGGGCAGCAGAGTGAGACTCCGTCTCAAAAAAAAAAAAAAAAAAAACATAGACCTGAATGTAAGAACCAAAACTATGAAGCTTCTAGAAGAAATTAGAGGAGAAAATCTTAGTGACTTTGTATTAGGCAAAGATTTCATAACCAGTTTGTGGAAAAAAGATTTCTTAAATAGGCAAATTCCATGAACTATGAAAGGAAAAAATACACTGGACTTCATAAAAATTAAAACCTTTTGTCTATTCATTTATTGCCATATATAAGCCACATGACATTTCTCCTTGCTCCAGCCTGGATACAGGAAACTCTTGTATAGTTGTCTATCCCAGCAGCTATCATAGGCCAGGCTTCTATTTGTGTAGTACAGACTGTACATCACTCAAGGACAGAAAATATACCTTGCAAATGTCCTCACTGCCTAACATTTTGATCATTGCAAAGCCCAGGCAAAACTGCACAGTTCCACATCTGATTAGGAGTCTTAGGTCACATGATACTTTCAATTAAAAAAGACTAAAAAGTTGGTAAACAATCAAATACTCAAAAATCATGCAATGACGGTAAATCGTGATATATATTGATAGCATAATACAGCAAATCAAATGTTTTCAAAGAACTTTTAGTTATTGGGCATATGGTCATGATGGAAATTGAAAAATATGAAATACAGAAGACACTGTTTAGAAATAGACCAAAATACACACAGGATTTTAGAACATGGTAAAAGTGGCAATTCATTTCAGGGGAGAGATTGGTTATATTCGTTGGAAAGAGCCTTTCCTTTCCTTTAAAGCCTGGCCACAGACTACTGACTCCACGACTGGGGGAAATGTGGAGCCCTGGGAGCAGAGAGCAAGCCTGCCCTCTGTCCCTCTGCCCCTTTGCCTCTCTGCCCACGTGGGCAGGCAGACTTAGTTAAGACCCCAATAAGTAAGTAGTAGGCTCTCTAAAATATGTTCACAACCTTTAAAGTAGTCGTTCTATTTTAGGAAGACACTGTAAGAAAATAATCCTAAAAAGAAATATCAGTTGCAGAAGGACATCTATAAGGTGCTCCATTTATTTATTTATTATTTATTTATTTATTCTGAGGCAGAGTCTCATTCTGTCGCTGGAGTGCAATGGTGTGATCTCGGCTCACTGCAACCTCCACCTCCCGGGTTCAAGCGATTCTCCTGCTTTAGCCTCCCGAGTAGCTGGGATTACAGGCACCCGCCACCACGCCGGGCTAATTTTTTGTATTTTTAGTAGACCCAGGGTTTCGCTATGTTGGCCAGGCTTGTCTTGAACCCCTGACCTCGTGATCCGGCCTCCCAAAGTGCTAGAATTACAAGCGTGAGCCACCGCGCCCAGCCAGGTGTTCCATTTATATAGCAAAATACAAAAATGAAATGGCTAGAGGCACGAGGTCGCCTGGTGGGTGAGAGCAGCAGCCATGGATGACTTTGCCAACAAACAGCTAAATTATAGAGGAACTACATATTGAAATGTAAATTCACGCATGAGGTCTGTATTAATATTGGAAATGCCTAAATAAAAATAATCTTTTTTTTCTGAGCCTGGGGGTTGGGGCATGGAGTGGCGTGGGGGAGTTGGGGTGGAGGGGGAGAGGGTCTTTCTACGTCGCCCACTGGTGTCAAACTCTCCTGGGCTCAAGCAATCCTCCCGCCTCAGCTTCGGAAGCAGCTGGGAATACAGGCGCGCGCCACCAAGCCCGGTTAAATAAAATCTGTTTCCCCCAGTTAAAAAAAAAATTAATTTGTGTGGGTATATAGGTGTATATATTTCTGGGGTATATGGGATATTTTGATGCAGGCATACAGTGTGTGATAATCACATCAGGGTAAATGAGGTATCCGTTACCTCAAGCATTTATCCTTTGTGTTACAATATAAAGATAATCTTAAAGGGAAAAAAAGAGCAGCACAGGTAGTACTAACTGCAGCTGTACAGAAACAATGCGTGCCATAAACATTCATTTCAAAGAGAGGTGTTATGATTATTTACAATCATTAATGAATATGGCAACATTCTGGGCACTGACAAGAAAACTGCCACAAACATGCTGGCATAATGCACAATAAGCAAGGCTAAGCTGTGGTCGGGGCTCCCTCGCGCGCCCGTGAGCTCTGAATTTAGAATGGGGTGGACAGCTAGCTGATCAAGGGTTCTAAAAGGCCGGCCGCTAACGGACCGCCAGGGGGCGCTCCACGCACGTCTCCACGTCCCCGGGCGCACCTCGCAGCCGCGCCTGCTCGCGGCCAGGCCGCTCCCTCCCTCCCTCACCAGCCCCGACCCGTCTCCGCCCCGTCCGACGCTAGGGGGCGCCGCAGGCTGCCCGGCGCGCGGCTCGCGGCCCGGGAGCGCCGGGGCTAGGTGGCGGCGGCCATGGACCGATTCGTTTGGACCAGCGGCCTCCTGGAGATCAACGAGACCCTGGTGATCCAGCAGCGCGGGGTGCGAATCTACGATGGCGAGGAGAAGGTAGGGCGTCGGCCAGCCTTCCCAAGGGGCTGGCGGAAGGGGTCCCCGGTGGGCGCGCGGCCCGGCTCGGTGTGGCCCGGTCCCCGGCCTAGCTCACTGCGCTCGGTGGCTCGGCCGGCCTCTGTGTGGGGCGCAGCGCTCTTGCGCTCCCCGCCGGTCGGTCGCACGCAGCGTGGGGCGCTCGGCCGCCTCCCCCGCTCGGGTCCCAACTTTGGCACGGTTCCCAGCAGGCACGGATCGCGGCTGCTTCTCTCTGCCCGGAATGCTTCCGGGAGAGCACAGCCGCAGCGCCCGGGAGAAGGAGCGCTCGCAGTCTGCGGGCGCCGGGCGGCGATCCGGCAGTCGACTTCCTTGGCGTGTTTCCAGACCCCCTGACTACACCAACCTCGGTGTCGGCACCCGACAGCCAGGTTCCGCCTTTCTGTGAGGAGGGCGCGGTGGCCGTACAGTCGCCGGCGGAAGCTTTAGCTTGGACCTCATGCAGTCGGAGGGATTAGCATATCTGGGCAGAGGGGTGAGGGATTGCTTCGAAAGGATTTCCTAAAGAGGTATCAGTGCCTTATTGGAATGCCCTTGCCAAAGGCTTTTGGGTTTTTGTTTTGTTTTCTAATTGCTTTAGAAAGGCGTTCTGAGTGTATGTTTTGTAAAGTGTTAATAATATTAATAGTAGACCGTGCCTTGTAATGCAAGCATAAGTCTTAGAAGGTGCGTTTTCAAATCGAGAGGAGAAATAGGAAGTGTAAGTAAATATTTTGTAGATACTTTGTTGAAACTATGAAATATCTTGTCCTGGATTGAAATGTATAAACTGGAATTAGAAAAAATTTAAAACTCACTTACCCACAAGCATTTTTGGTTTCCAGAAGTTTTAATTTGCTGCCTCTCTTCCCTTGCCGTTTTATTAACGACATTTTCCGCTGTACTTTGATATAAGTTACTGAACTCATAGCTTTTCCTGGTCAGTACTTACAGCTATTTACAGGCACAGGTGACTTTGGACCCGGTCCTCTGACTCCCTTAGGGCATTTTCTATGGGCTGGTTGCCTGTATTATTGAGTAAAGGTCTTTTCCTTGAATAATTTGCTTGGACCTAACTTCACTTACTGCCTTAGCACTTCTTAATTTAATTAATTAATTAATTTTGAGACGGAGTCTTGCTCTGTGGCCAGCCTGGAGTGCAGTGGCGCGATCTCGGCTCACTGCAACCTCCGCCTCCCGGGTTCACGTCATTCTCCTGCCTCAGCCTCCTGAGTAGCTGGGACTACAGGCGCCTGCAACCACGCCCAGCTAATTTTTGTATATTTAGTAGAGACGGGGTTTCACCATATTGGCCAGGCTGGTCTCAAACTCCTGACCTCAAATGATCCACCCGCCTGGGCCTCCCAAAGAGCTGGGATTACAGACTCGTGAGCCACTGTGCCCAGCCTGCTTTAGCACTTTAACTAGCTTGATCTCAAGTTGAGTCTTCCATCCCTGGATTGGAGTGACAAGCTGTTTTTTTCTCTTTTCTTACCAATTTACATCTTTGTAACTATTTTAAATGGGAAGGTTAATCCACCTCCCCTTCCTCGGCGTTTTGATTTTGCCCCCCCTTTGAGAGGAACTGAATGTTGACAGTGGTAGATCTGTCCTCAGAGACTCCTCCAGTGCCATTCCCTGAGGGAGCACTAGGAAGTCGTGCTTTTGCAGAGCATGGCATGATACAGTTCTATGGAACTCCAATTTGAAGACTAGGAACACCTTTGCTGGCAGGCAGTATAGCTGTGATAGATTTAAAACAGTGTAAAATAACAGCCATTAGTAGTTTTATATGAAAGATACATTGTTGAACCAGCGAGTTTTAATTTTTACTTTAAAATTTTTGCTGCTTGTATTAGCAGACAAGTATATAGATGTCAGAGGTTTAAGAAACAAATCATGGGGAAAACATTGCTTGAGACCCTGTGATCTAGTCCAGAATTAACTCTTCTAAAAGCTTGAAATTGGAGTGGAGCTCTAAGAGTTTTCTCCTTACCACTGTGCCCCAGAGCTGGACTTAGTCACTTGCTGAGCTGCCTTGCAGCTCTGTGGTCCCTAGGCTGAATGAGGTACAGGCTGACTCCTGGGGGAAAGTGCGGTATCCTGGCTTCCTTCACCTGTTGGAAGGTTTCCAGACTTCTGTGGTGTTAGAGACTCTACAAGGCTACACACATTAGCCCCTAAATCTGATGAAGTTAGTCTCCCTTTTAGGATGCCTCACTGGCTCCTTTGGCCTAGGGACTGCAGTCCAGATTGCTTAGTCTTCATAGTTTTGCATCCCAACCCATTCTCTGGGCAAGCGTGCACATGGCTGTCTTCTAGACTAGTTTGATTGTTCCTGGAGCACAGAAGGTGTGCCTTGCTCATCCTTGTATCTCCTGGTTGTGGGTGTGAAACACATTTTTTTAAAAACCTGAATAATTAAAGTACCTACTATGAGCCAAGAGCTGTATATGTCATCTCATTTAATCCTCTCAACAGGAATAGGAGGTATTTTACTGAATGAGGAAGTAATGCCAAGAGACACAGTGACTTGCCTAAGATCCAGAGAGAGAGATTTAAATCTCTGTTGATCAGAATCAAAGCCTGTGCTTTGTTCGTGGAGCTACAGTGAGCCAAGATCATGCCACTGCACTCCAGCCTAGGCAACTGAGCGAGATTCTGTCTCACAAAAAAAAAAAAAAAGGACTTCATAATATGGCAGCCACCGGTGCCACCCTTGATGTAATGTTTAATACAGCTAATCTTCCCAAAGATGAAGAAACTGACACCCACAGTTGACAGTTGAGAAAACTGTGAGCTGTCCAAGGTCAGTTACTAGTTGTGAACTAGTAACTGGTGGAGATAGAATTGCAAACCAGATCCAATGGACTGCTCTTCCCACTGCCCAAGTGCCTCTTATGAATACATGCATACTTGCTTGTTTATACAGGCACAGTTTTCATGGGCTCATTATGACTGGATAATGTGTTACTTTCGTAAGGAGTGTAGGCAGGTCATTTGTTTGAATTCACAGCCACTTCTGTAGCCTCAGCTAATTTAAAAAATAATGTAAGGTTAGTAATATGTAAAGTGGCAAATTGGCAGCATACATCAGAAGATTTAGAAATGTTTATTCTTTTTTAGCTAACTATTTCACTTTTAGGAATTTACTCTTGGAAAAGAATCAGAGATGCATAAAAATATTACATATGGAGAATGCTCATCTCAGATGTTATTATATTATTACATATAATATTATTATATATGGAAAAATTGGTAAAATCTGAATGTCCACCATAGGGATTGGTTAATTAAATTAATGGCATGAGGCCAGGTGTGGTGGCTCACGCCTGTAATCCCAGCACTTTGAGAGGCTGAGGCGGGTGGATCACCTGAGGTCAGGAGTTCAAGACCAGCCTGGCCAACATGGTGAAACCCCGTCTCTACTAAAAATACAAAAAATTAACTGGGCGTGGTGACGGGTGCCTGTAATCCCAGCTATTTGGGAGGCTGAGGCAGGAGAATGGCTTGAACCCGGGTGGCGGAAGTTGCAGTGAGCTGAGATTGCGCTGTTGCACTCCAGCCTGGGCAACAAATTCGAAAAACCCTATCAAAAAAAAAAAAAAAAAAGATTTATGGCATGCCCTAATTAGCATGAGGAATTGCCAATGATAGGCTGCTAACTATATTTTATAACTATTTATTAATAATAGTTATAAAACTCTATCATAGTCTATTTAAAGATTATACATATGTATACATAAACATCTGTGTATATATACATACACACTCTGGCTGGTATGAATTATTTCATTTTCTTTTTCAGACTCTAAATATTTTCCAGATTTTCAACACTGAACATGCATTACTTTTATAACAGAAAATATGTAAATAAAAAAAAAACAGGGTAAGAACTTTTCAGTGAGTGGTGAAGTCATATCAATTTTTTTTTTTTTTTTAGGGGGGAGACAGAGTCTTGCTCTGTCGCCCAGGCTGGAGTGCGGTGGCACGATCTCGGCTCACTGCATGCTCTGCCTCCCGGGTTCACGCCATTCTCCTGCCTCAGCCTCCCGTGTAGCTGAGACTACAGGCGCCCAAAACCACACCCAGCTAATTTTTTTGTATTTTTTTTTTAGTAGAGACGGGTTTTCACCGCGTTAGCCAGGATGGTCTTGATCTCCTGACCTCCTGATCCACCCACCTGGGCCTCCCAAAGTCCTGGGATTATACGCGTGAGTCACGGCACCCCGCCATGTTTTAACATATTATTTTAAATTCAAAACAATTCCAGTCTTATTTTAATAAACTGGACACTCATTAAAATGCTTTCCTTAGTGTTTATGTTGTAAGGTTGCCTTATAAATGGGACTATCCTTGTAACTTTTTTTGTTTTGTTTTTCAGCTCTCACTTAGCATCAACTATAACTTTTAAAATAACTGAATATTCCTGGAAAGGACACGAGCAAGCCCTACCTTATGGCAAATTCCACTTTCTAGTAACTCGAGTTAATAGAAACTTCCAGTATATATCTTGCTTTTAACAGAAACAAAGGGGTTTAATTCATTACTCTCTTGGGTTCCAATTCTAAAACTTGCTTATTTATATAACTTTCAGGGCACAGTAACAAGTAGTGAGGGTTAAAGTTTTGGTCCTAAAGACCTAGCTGGCATTTCTTTGTGATTGTATTGAAGTTTTGAAGAACATTTTAAAATTTATATTTTGAATAGGTGATACATACCCAAAGAGTATGTCCTAGTCAGCTCGGCTGCTAAAACAAAATACCATAGCCTGGGTGGCTTAAACAACAGGTGTTTATTTCTCATAGTTCTGGAGACTGGGAAGTCTAATATCAAGGTACTGGCAGATTTGGTTCTTGGTAAGGACACTCTTCCTGGCTTGCAGATGGCCACCATTTGCTCTTGTACTTGCATGGTCTTTTCTCAGCACGTGTTCATGGAGATGAAGCCCTCCTGTCTCTTCCTTTTCTCGTAAGGATACTAGTCTCATCATGAGGGCCCCACCTCATGACCTTCTAAACCTAATCACCTCCCAAAGGTTCCATCACCAAATACCATTGCGTTGAGGGTTAGGGCTTCAACATATGAATTCGGGGATTTTCATTTAATGCTAATGGGTTTTATGCCTTCTTAGAAAGGTCTTCTCCCCTCAGATTATTTAAAAATTATCTCATGTTTTTTTCTGGTGCTTTTATAATTTTTTTCGTTTTTTACTCAATTGATCCATCTAGAATTCATTTTAGTGCATTGTATTAGGTATAAATCCAGATGTATGGGTTTTTCTTTTTCCTGCCTGGCAACCCAGTTGTCCCACTGCCATTGATTTAATCTCCATCCATATTTATTTTTGTATGTATTTGTATCTATTCCTGGATTTTGTTTTTATTAAAAAATGTTATGAGTGTTATACATGAATTCAGTTGCAAAGAAATTCAATCAGAAGTGAAGTGTAGAGGTAAAAAAGAACTCTTCACTTCCCTTCTACCCCTTTCCTCACACTTTTTCTGAGATTATGATTGTTAACAGATAATTGTGTGTTCCTTTTAGACCCTTTTCACTACTTGTGTTTCTGCACACATATATATACATATACACACACACATATATAGCATATGTAATATTGTAAATTGCTGTAAATCACTTCCTTTCCCACTCATCCAGTGTCTTAGAGTTCTATGGTAATCCATGTAGTTCTACCTCATCATTTCTTTTTAACTTTTGCATGGATTGCAGAGTATGAATGTGTATCATACTTGGTTGTTGTTTGCATTTTTTTCTAATTCTGTCAAGACTATGCAAATAGCTTATGAAGTATGTAGCATTGGTTTTTACTTTGTGATAAGCCTCTTCTAAAAGTAAAATGTTTATTTATATGATTAACTTAGTATTGTATAATTTATGAAGAAGAAAATCTGAACCACAATGAGTGGTATGTTATTAATATTTTGTGATGCTGTTTCTTTCTAGATAAAATTTGATGCTGGGACTCTCCTTCTTAGTACACACCGACTGATTTGGAGAGATCAGAAAAATCATGTAAGATACAGTTTTTTGCATCTGTTGAAGGTTTTATTTTGTTTAGTTATTTTTTAGAGACAGGGTCTTGCTGTATTGCCCAGGCTGATCTCTAACCTCTGGGCTCGAGTGATTCTTCTGGCCTCAACCTCCCTAGTAGCCGGGACTACAGGAGTGAGCCACCATTGTAGGTTTTAAATCACTGAAGCTTTTTCTTCTTTTTTCATTTCTAGTAAAACTTATATAATGAATGCAATAATAAATTTTCCTTTTCTGAATGACGAAAGAGTGTGTCCTGTATAATTTCTCTAAATGGAGTGCAGAAACAGGAGTTAGCGTGTTGTCCCTTATTCAGCTCCAGAAAAGTCCATGTAGTTACTGGATGGAGAATCATGTTTTTTAAATATGAAATTCTACTCTATATCTAAATGTTCCATATATAACAGGGGAATAATTCCTCCATCAGTTGTGAGGGAATCTTTAAAAAGAGCTCATATGTCCTTAAAACTAAATTGTGTTCTAGGTTGTTGTTGAGAATCAGGAGACTAGGCCTGCCATCAAGTGCATGCCTTTATCTAGATATTGAGATCTGTCTCTAAGTCACTCAGCAAGAGGAGTCCCCCACATCCCCCATTTTTTTTTTGTTTGAGACAGAGTCTCGCTCAGTCACCCAGGCTGGAGTGCAGTGGTGTGATCTTGGCTCACTACAACCTCCGACTCCCAGGTTCAAGCAATTCTCCTGCTTCAGCCTCCCGAGTAGCTGGGATGACAGGCATCACCACCATGCTCGGCTAAGTTTTGTATTTTTTAATAGACACAGGGTTTAGCCATATTGTTCAGGCTGACCTGACCTCGCGATCTGCCCACCTTGGCCTCCCAAAGTTCTGGGATTACAGTAGTAAGCCACCTTGCCCAACCTGTTTTTTTTGTTTGTTTGTTTTTTAAGGAAGAGGGAGAGTTATATGTATATAGAGCTGATATATATCTTTATGTCCAAGAGCTTCAACCTGAAAGTATATGGACATTAATTTCAGCATTGCCAGTAAGATAGCTATCTCATCTGTGTTTTTATTTTCCTGATTGTTCCCCCAAACCCCTGTGAAATTTTAGTACTACAAATAAACTATATACTCTACTATAGCCCTTGAAGGGCTGCTAATCGTTACAATATCTGACTTTTTTGCACCCTGGGAACTAATTTTTGTCTCCTAGGTCTGATATTGCCCCTGTTAATTTTTGTCTCCTAGGTCTGATATTGCCCCTGTTGATAAGGCATGCCTTAGAGCGGGAGTCCCCAACTCCCCGGGCCGCGGACCAGTACTGGTCTGTGGCCTGTTAGGAACTGGGTCACATAGCAGGGGGTGAGTGACAGGTGAGCAAGCATTACCACCGGAGCTCCACTTCCCATCAGATCAGCAGACGCATTAGATTCTTGTAGGAGCACGAACCGTATTGTGAACTGTGCATGCAAGGGATCTAGGTCCTGCACTCCTTATGAGAGTCTAATGCCTGATGATCTGAAGTGGAACAGTTTCACCCTGAAACCACAACCCCTGCTCTGCAGGAAATACTGTCTTCCACGAAACCAGTCCCTGAAACAAAAAAGGTTGGGGACTGCTGCCTTAGACTATTAATATTGTCTAATCCTTTTAAAAGTAATATATATTCAGGAAATAAATCTTTTTGGGGAGGATAGAAGGCATGTCCTTAAACCATAAGTTGATAAGTTAATCTTAGTATAATTTTTTGATTATCATATAAAGAGGTCCATTTGGACAAATTTTAGACTTACTACATTGCTAGTCACATAAAAATTAAACATAACTGTTTATATATGTTAAAACTAAGGCTAGGAGCGGTGGCTCATGCCTGTAATCCCAGCACTTTAGGAGGCTGAAGCAGTGGATCACCTGATGTTGGGAGTTTGAGACCAGCCTGACCAACATGGAGAAGTCCCATCTCTACTAAAAATACAAAATTAGCTGGGCGTGGTGGCACATGTCTGTCATCCCAGCTACTCGGGAGGCTAGACAGGAAAATCGCTTGAACCTGAGAGGCAGAGGTTGCGATGAGCCAAGGTTGCACCATTGTACTCCAGCCTGGGCAACAAGAATGAAACTCCGTCTCAAAAAAAAAAAAAAAAAATTTAAACATACTGGCTAGACACAGTGGCTCATGCCTGTAAATCCCGGCACTTTGGGAGGCCAAGGCAGGGGGATCACTTGAGATCAGGAGTTCAAGACTAGTGTGTCCAACATGGTGAAAGCCCATCTCTCCTAAAAATACAAAAATGAGCCAGCCATGGCACACCTATAATCCCAGCTACTTGGGAAGCTGAGGTGGGAGGATCACTTGAACCTGGGAGGCAGAGGTTGCAGTGAGCCAAGACTGTACTACTGCACTCTAGCTTGGGCAATAGAGCAAGACTCCAAAAAAAAAAAAAGTTAAACATATGAATAAAGGGATACTACATCAATATTTTTTGTTTAAAACTATTAATAATTGCATGTGGGCATATGAGTGAAGTATGGAAAATTATAAAGAAGAGAAAATCATCTACATTAATGACCTTAAAATTGTTTTGACGTATCTGTTTTGTTTTTTGCTTTCAGTGTAAGAAAATATTACAAGTAAAATGTTTTCGTAGAAATATTACTCTTAGAAAATGCACCCATTGTGGCTGGGTCTGGTGGCTCATGCCTGTAATCTCTGCACTTTGGGAGGCCAAGGCAGGCAGATCATGAGGTCAGGAGATCGAGACCATCCTGACTAACATGGTGAAACCCCGTCTCTACTAAAACTACAAAAAAATTAGCCAGGCATGGTGGCGGGCACCTGTAGCCCCAGCTACTTGGGAGGCAGAGGCAGGAGAATGGCGTGAACCCAGGAGGCAGAGGTTGCAGTGAGCCGAGATCACACCACTGCACTCCGGCCTGGGCGACAGAGCGAGACTCCATCTCAAAAAAAAAAAAAAAAAAAGGAAAAGAAAATGCACCCATTGTAAAAACAAAAGCTAGTGACAGCTTCTTTTAAATTTCTTATGTTCTTCCATGCAGCCATATGCCACCACAGTATTGTTTCCATTTAATTTTTCCTTAAGTTCATTTAAGTAGCAAAATCATTGTTTTTCATTATTTTTATTATTAAGGTATATGGCACTGTAATGCTATAAAACAAGGATTTCTGACAAGTGTTATGGATGTTGTTTAGAGTCTTTGATTTAAGCTATCGATTTCCTCCTAGGAGTGTTGCATGGCCGTTCTCCTTTCCCAAATTGTGTTCATTGAAGAACAGGCAGCTGGAATTGGGAAGAGGTAAGGTCTATATAGTACAGTCTTTATTCACAGAAAACATTTCTTGTTATGCTATTGGTCAGAAGGTCCTATCTTAGACTCAATGATGTATGAATTGATTCTTAAGCATGAATAATTTGCTGTAATATCCTTGTTTATTATACATGGGTCATAATAAAGAAATGTGGGCCTGGTGCAGTGGCTCACGCCTGTAATCCTAGCACTTTGGGAGGCTGAGGCGGGCAGATCATGAGGTCAGGAGATTGAGACCATCTGGCTAACATGGTTAAACCCCGTCTCTACTAAAAATACAAAAAAATTAGCTGGGTGTGGTGGCGGGCGCCTGTAGACCCAGCTACTTGGGAGGCTGAGGCAGGAGAATGGCATGAACCTGGGAGGCAGAGCTTGCAGTGAGCCGAGATCGGGCCACTGCACTCCAGTCTGGGGGACAGAGCAAGACCCCGTTTCAAAAATAATAATAATAATAAATAAATAAATAAATAAATAAATAAAAACAATAAAAAGAAATGTGGCCCACTTTTCATTGTCTTTCCATAGACACTTTGCTTTCACATCCCTGTGTACCTGTCATTTCATACTTAAAATCGGAAATAACCTATTTGAGAAAAATAACTGACTTTGCTTCTGTTTCTAACCTGATCATTAAGTTTGTTTCTCAGGTTTTACTTGTTCAGATAGCAGAGTTAAACAGCATATAATAGTAGTTACTGTACAAAGCAGGACATTTATCAGAATAATAGGAGGTACAATGAACAATTAGACCAGGGTAACAAGGATACAATGGGACCATCCCAGGCAAACCAGGAGATGAGGCCACCTTGGTATAAAGGCGTAAGTTCAAATGTTCTTGTTTATTCAAATATACTGAAAACTTGGCTTTATATTTTAAGTGCATGTAATTGAGGAGACATGAACAAGTATTATTGGCATGGGATATTTTTTTCCTACGTAGGCTTATCTTTAGGTTTAGCATAATTAGGCACTTTAGTAGAAGTTAAACAGTGTTGAGCTTCACTGGACATGCAATGCATGCTTTGATCATAATGTTATGATTTACTGTAAAATATTATTTATTTGACATAAAAGAAACTAACCGTTTTAAAAAATTAATAAGCCATAGATTTTTTTAAGCCATAGATTTTTAGCGTAGATTGTTATTATGATTTATATTTTCCCCTTATCAATTTTCTCCATTGTACTAAGTTCTAAAAAGTAAACTTTAAGGTTGTTCCAGGTTATTTGAATTTTCCTTTCCTGTGTTCCAAGGAAATCTAAACTAAAAAAAAATTTTAAATATTTACCTTCACGTTAATGTCTTATTTTTTAAACATGTCCAGTGAGGAGGACTTCAGTAATATGCCAAGTTAACTTTTGTCAAGTATTCTTTTTAGTTCCCACCCCCTCCCCTCAAACAGTTATATTTGCATTGATTTCAAGATGTGTACATTTCACCTTTTAACATCTCTGAAGATGCTTTTTTTATTTCATAGATTTAAAATTTAATGAAGTATAGTAATTGGATGACTTGATAAAAGAATATATACAAAATTTGGCATAGATTTTTTATGCTTACTTTGGAGCTTTTAAACTTTATTTGATTATACTTACTACTTTTTCAATGGGTGTCCTTTCACAGAATCTGATAGTAGGGCTGAGGGTTTTTTTTAGTTTCAGAGACTATGAAATGCTTTTGCTTAGTTATCTTATCATAATTGTCATAGTTTTGTTGCTCTACTTGATGGTTTGTTTCAGACAGTTCTGTGATTCTGCTCACATAGTTTATTTTCTCACTTCACTTAAAGAAGTTTACCACAAGGGAATAGGAGGAGTCCTTACAAGACTGGCCCTACCCATTCACATTGAGGAGGCCATGCCTGGTGTTTCAATTTTACAGTGATGTTTAGGTAACCATATGATTCCAAAAAAAGAAAAGTAAAATTGAGTGGTAGATGTGTATCTATAGCATGATCAACACAGAAAAAGCACTAAACTAGGTACCTGGGATACTTTTGAGTTTTTTAGTTTCCCAAATCTTTATAGGATTGCTTATTGACTAGGTTGAAAAAAAAAGGAGGAAAACAGACTTATTAAGCTGACCAAATATAGTGGTATTTTTAATAGCATAGAAGATAATGATAGTCATAAAGATAATGGTAGTTTGTGTTCTTAGAGCCACAGCATTTTGGGAATTGTTTTTGCTATTGGTTATCTTTCCAGATCATGCTGTTGATTGAGTGGCATTTTCCAACAAATGACACTGTAGAATGTTAGTTTTGGATGGAATTTTAATAAAATATCAGCTGGCCATTTTTACAGATAAGTTTTCACTTTTTGTTTTCAAATGAATAAGGGTGTATGCTTTGGCAGAAATCATAGGCCCCCTCATCTGGGGATGTTTGTAGTTGGAAAACCATAATCATAAACTCAAACTTTTGCAAATTTATTTTGACCTTATTTTCTAAAGTCACACTCTAATTTAATCTACAGAGCTAGTAACTTGAAGCTTTTTGGTTCATAGCTTGTAAGTTTTAAGTAGAGAGATTTTTGAAAGCTTTATTAATATTGAATTAATACACACTATAAAAGGATGCTTTTTGGGATGTTTGTTTCTACACGAATTTTAAAAGTGATTTGAAACACATAAAAAGTTATAAAAGTAGAATTAGTTATATATATTTTTTGAAAGGCAATTCAATATATTACATTTGTTCTTTCTTCAGTGCCAAAATAGTGGTTCATCTTCACCCAGCTCCTCCTAACAAAGAACCTGGCCCATTCCAGAGTAGTAAGAACTCCTACATCAAACTCTCCTTCAAAGAACATGGTCAGATTGAGGTAAGTTTCTACATGAATAAAATTATACTAGAAAGGGGTGTGTATGTGTGTGTGTGCTGTGGCTTGTTAATATGATGGAAGGTAGTATTATACAACATACCAGATTTCACCATAGTTTTACAATAAAATTTTATTATATCCTAAGCCTTAGCAGTGAGTGGAGAATATGAAGTTTAGGTTTCAGTGGGAATGGGAAACAGAGGGTGTGGTCCCAAGGAAGGAACAGAGGCTGGAAAATACACTAAGTCATGCCATTTGCCTACTAGCAGAGTTTTCAGTGGTATAGTTTAGTTAAATGAACAGAGTATAAATGCAATGATATGTTGAACTATCTCAGTATCTGAAGGTTCTCCAGCTTTAAATCAGGCTGTCTTGATTAACTCCAGTTAATCTTAGTCACTTAAGTACTTATTCTGCAGTATAATAGTTTATATGTTCCAAATAAGTTGCTGTACAAGAATTCTTAAGATAATTAGAAGTGTGTATTTATTCTCCCCATCAATATCATAAATTATTATTAATTTTTTCTATAGCACCTCACCCAGTGCTCCTGACAAGTGATCACTAAGCATATGAAAAAACATATTTGATTATTTGTGAGCATAGGTATGTTTTGGTCGTACTTTTTGGTTTTATATTTTAACTAGACAAATTATGCTCTGCTTCCTTCATGGAGAATGGTTGTATATTTTTCCTGGCACTGTGTTTGTTTCATTATAGATTGAAAACAATCCACATACGCAGGATTGTTTAAAGTAAGTCTATTGATTTCATTGTCACTCATCTCTTTGTTGAGAATAGCCCACTTTATATAGAAGGTCAGTTCCTTCTTTTTTTTCCCTTGTGCTTTCTGAAGCTGATCCAAGAAAAGAATTTCCTTTGATTTTCTTTGATGTCTCTGAGAATTCTGGGCTTGCTGCAAATGACTGAACAGACTTTTATACTAAAGAAATGTTAAGTGGCCAGACGCAGTGGCTCACGCCTATAATCCCAGCACTTTGGGAGGCCAAGGCGGGCAGATCACCTGAGGTCGAGGGTTCAAGACCAGCCTGACCAATATGGAGAAACCCCATCTCTACTAAAAATACAAAATTAGCTAGGTTTTACAGGTGGCACATGCCTGTAATCCCAGCTACTTGGGAGGCTGAGGCAGGAGAATCGCTTGAGTTAGGGAGGCGGAAGTCGTGGTGAGCCTGGATCACGCCATTGCACTCCAGCCTGGGCAACAAGAGCGAAACTCCACCTCAAAAAAAAAGAAAGAAATGTTAAGTAATGATTTATACAAGGATGCTACAATCTGACTGACTCATTTAAAGTGTATTTATTTGCATAACAGTTTTACAGGCGTTTATCAGAGGAAATGACACAGAGAAGATGGGAGAATATGCCAGTTTCCCAGTCATTACAAACAAATAGAGGACCCCAGGTATTTTTAAAACTATTTGCTAATCCAGTATTTTCAACTCTGTACTTACATCTTCATTAAGAAAAAGACTCTGTGATTATAGAACTTGCCCAAAACAAAATACTGCAATGGCATTCTGATAAAGAATTTATTTTTGACCGGGCATGGTGGCTCACGCCTGTAATCCCACCACTTTGGGAGGCCAAAGCGGGGCAGATCATGATGTCAGGAGTTCGAGGTCTGCCTGGCCAACATTGTGAAACCCTGTCTCTACTAAATACAAAAATTAGCCAGGTGTGGTGGTACACGCCTGTAATCCCAGCTGCTCAGAAGGCTGAGGCAGGAGAGTCGCTTGAACCTGGGAGGCAGAGGTTGCTGTGAGCCAAGATTGTGCCATTGCTCTCCAGCCGGGGCGACAGGGGCGAGACTTCGTCTCAAAAAAAACAAAAATTATTTTCACAGCACCTAATTTAGTGCTGTCTATACAGCAGATACTTAGTAAGCGTAAATAACTGCTTACCAGCATAATTCTTAGGGTGATAGAAGGTAGAGTTCACCCACTGAATTCTGTTCTTCATAGTCAGTGTGGCATTTGAGAGAACAGACAGTACAGCTGGGTGGTGTTTTCCAGGCCTGTCTAAATTAATCACCAACACTAGACAGGTACTCAAATGTATGAAAGCAGCTTGGATAATAAGTGTTAATTAAGAACCAAAATTTAAACTGTGATTTTTTTGTACATTTGAGACCCTATTAAGTATCTGATACATAATAGCTTGCCAAAGAAGGAAAATGATAGGAAATTTAACTTATATCTAAAATGCAGAGTAAAATATGCCATTTATTGTATATTTGGTTTTTCTTGAATGATTTTAAGATCATTATGTACAGCAAGAAACAAACACGTGTTTTGAAGGGAAACTAAACGTCAGTGTATGCTATTTTTCTTTGATTCTTTGTGGGTCCTTTTCCGCCATTGAAAATACAATGTGGTTGGTTACAAAAGATTTTGTTTGCTTCCTATTTTGTATGTTTTATTTTCTACTTTTTTTTTCAGCCAGGAAGAATAAGGGCTGTAGGAATTGTAGGTATTGAAAGGAAACTGGAAGAAAAAAGAAAAGAAACTGACAAAAACATTTCTGAGGTAACTGTTAAATTCTGGCTCTGCATCTATTCCAGCCATTTGTGTCTATCCTTTTAGATACAGCTGTGACTAATTCCCTTCTGTAATTTAGAATATATTTCATTTGCCTGAAGCTACATAGTCTCCTATTCTCTTTAACAGGTCTACCTGGGGCTGGCAAAATCTAACCAAAACCTCTTTCTAAAAGGAATAAAAAAGAAATGCAAATTTGCTTGCTGTTAGAAAATATCATAGAATGTTGTGTGTAGATTTTAAAGTCTAGATGGAATTGATTGAAGGATACTCCTAATGAGTTCAGGGTTCCCTATATAATTATTTTGGAAGTTGAAGTAACTTAGTTGAGAGAAAAATGCTATCTGTGGCCACTGTCTGTGGCCAGATACCACACCATTTTATGTTGATGACCACCCAGGGATCAGACCAGACATCACTAAGAATGGCTCAAAGCAGCCCATCACTTCTACTAGGAGACAACCTTGAGCATGTACTTTCCAATGTTTTGAAGCTTCATCATATATGAGGAAATTCAAGAGAAGGGGAAAGAACTCTAGCTAAAAAGACCAGTATGCATTAGATTCTGTAATTAGTTAATACAGCTAAACGTATCATTGATTTTTCCATGTTTATATAAAAATGGTCTTGGTTTTTTATTAAATGATGCTTTAAAGTAAATCTTTGGTTTTTATAGTAATTCGTAAGTAAAATTCCATGATGGTTGCTGTTCAGAGAATTTCAAAGATTTATGTCAATCAAGTAAAGTCTCAAACTGCAAATAGTTATTTAAATACTTATTTTGGGCTCACTGGGAACCAAGGGCATTTGACCTGTTAAGTGCCCATAGTAGGTTTTTCTGGATGTGTGTGTATCTGTGGTGAAGTTGTGTATTTTCCTCAACCCTGTATTTTCCCCAAATTGGCAGCTGGATCCAGAATCTCTGTCACACTCATGTTCTGTCCCTTTGGCAAAACTAGAGGTGATGCTGTGTTCTTTCGTCGGAGTCACATCTTATCTCTGTCATGTTAGCAGCTGTTAATATTCAGTGCCTAGATCTATTAGTTCATTGGTTGTGGTAAATAGTGATAATTCTGTCTTTATTTTTCATTTATTAGTTGGAATACTTTTTAAAGAAATGTTTCCCTTATCTACTATTTGGTTGTCCAGTTCATATAGGAAAGGCTGGATAATTGCATTTTCCTTTATCATCAGGGTAATAAATTGTTTCCTTATTATCTTTTGACAATGACTAATTAGGTTTTTTTTTTTTTTTTTTTTTTTGAGACAGAGTCTCGCTGTGTCGCCCAAGCTGGAGTGCAGTGGCTTGATCTCAGCTCACTGCAGGCTCCGCCTCCCGGGTTCACACCATTCTCCTGCCTCAGCCTCCTGAGTAGCTGGGACTACAGGTGCCTGCCACCACGCCCGGCTAATATTTTGTATTTTTAGTAGAGACGGGGTTTCACCATGTTAGCCAGGATGGTCTCGATCTCCTGACCTCGTGATTCGCCTGCCTCGGCCTCCCAGAGTACTGGGATTACAGGCGTGAGCTACTGTGCCCAGCTGACTAATTAGGTTTTTTTTTTTAACATGTCATTAGGAATTCATGAAGTTTAGCATATTTGATGGATTTCAATCAGTTATAATTATTATCCTATTTGAAGCTCAAATTGTCCCATCTTTGGCCAGTGGGAGCTGCTTCAAGTTGGCCCTCTAAGTGCTTTTGTTGTGAGTAGGTGAACTTTGCTAGCTTTTTCACTATCTGGTGTGACAAAGCTCCAGGACCATCTTATACATTTCCTGCCTCAGATCCAGAATCAACCATTTATCTGAGAAACTCTGGTTTCTTTCTTTTTTTTTTTTTTTTTGAGACAGAGTCTTACTCTGTCGCTTAGGCTAGAATGCAGTGGCACTATCTTGGCTCACTGCAACCTCTGCTTCCTGGGTTCAAGCAATTCTCCTGCCTCTGCCTCCCGAGTAGCTGGGATTACAGGTGCGCACCACTGCGCCCAGCTAATTTTTGTATTTTTAGTAGAGACGGGGGTTTCACCATGTTGGTCAGGCTGGTCTTGAACTCCTGACCTCGTGAACCACCTGCCTCGGCCTCCCAAAGTGCTGGGATTATAGGTGTGAGCCACCGCTCCCAGCCTGCTCTGTTTTCTTTTAGTGGGAAATGATATTTCAGAACCACACTCTGCTTGCTAGTAATATTCATCATTATTGGATTGATCTTTGTTTTTAGGCATTTTCAATGGACAGAGCTAGAATTTTGTTGTTGTTAATATAAAGTGCCTAACAAAAGCATACTTATCTTTTCTATTCAAATTTAAGATGACACTACCAGATAATTACTAAAACAATTGAAAAAAAAATGTATATGTGTTTTCCCCATTCTTCGTACATTTGAAAAATAGGTGCACCGTATTTACACCGTCTGAGCATGCAGCCACTGCATACACTCTCCCCTCAGCTCCAGCTCTCATTGACTCTTAGTTTTATAAGTACCTCCATGTTTAGTACCACCAGTCCTCAATGCTGAGCTCTGTGTGGTCGCTTTGGTTGTCTGAAGCTCATTCTGTAATAGATTTTTAAGGAAATGATCACAGGAACAATATTCCCTGTATCTGCCATGTTTGTCTTCCTTATACATGAAGGTCAGTTTTGTTGGATTTAAAATCCTCAGCTCACATTTTCTTTCTTTGAGTGTCTTCATTATATTACTTTCTTTTTTTTTTTTTTTTTGGTCTGGCATGAGGTGTTGCTATCAAAAAGTAATGATAATTTAATTTTTTCCCTTTAAAAGACAGTTGCTATTTTTCCTAGATGGGCAAAGGATTTTTAAATTTTACTTTAAAGCCCAGTAATTTTACTAGAATGTGTCTATTAGTCATTCTGAGTTGTTATTCTTATTTACATGCTGTGCTTTTTCAGTAAATAGTTTCAGGAATTCTTTAATTTCAGGGAAATTTTTCTGTATTATAACTTTCTTTTTTTTTGAGATGGAGTCTCACTCTGTTGCCCACACTGGAGTGCAGTGGTGCAATCTTGGCTCACTACAACCTCTGCCTCCCAGGTTCAAGCAATTCTCCTGCCTCAGCCTCCCAAGTAGCTGGGACTACAGGCGCGTGCCACCATACCCAGCTAATTTTTTCTTTTTCTTTTTTTTTTTTTTTTGAGACAGAGTCTCGCTCTGTCGCCCAGGCTTGAGTGCAGTGGCCGGATCTTGGCTCACTGCAAGCTCCACCTCCCGGGTTTACGCCATTCTCCTGCCTCTGCCTCCCAAGTAGCTGGGACTACAGGCACCTGCCACCTTGCCTGGCTAGTTTTTTTTTGTATTTTTTAGTAGAGATGGGGTTTCACCATGTTAGCCAGGATGGTCTCCATCTCCTGACCTCGTGATCCGCCCGTCTCGGCCTCCCAAAGTGCTGGGATTACAGGCTTGGGCCACTGTGCCTGGCCTATAATTTTCAATAATTGCTTTGATTTTTTTTCTTCTGGGACTCCTATTAGCTGTATGTTGCAGTTTCACTGCCTGTCTTCACTATTTGTGACTCTAATGCTTTTCATTTCTTTCCTCATTTCTTTTTTATTTAGAAAGTTTTCCTCTTTTTCACCTTTCTTTGAAGGTTTTATCTGTTGTGTTTATTCACTCATGTCTGTCTAGTGTAGCCTTTATTTCTGAAATGATTTTTTTCCTTTTATTTTTAATTCTTTCCTGTCACCTATTTCTGATTTATATTGAACCTTCATAGCTTGTATCATCTTCTTAACATCTTTTAGCTTATTTTGATATAAAAGGTTAATAGTGGACCCTCCCATAATTGAAGCAGGCAAAATCCTCCCCATTTTAGGCACTGTCCTCAAATTGGCCTGCTTTACTTTCTAGTGAATCCCTATTGGCTCTCTTGGGGCTCTTGCTTTCTCAGGTCTGTGGGTTACATTGTTGCTTTTCTTTTCTTTCTCCTGCCTAGATCCTGGCATCCTGCAGGTCTTGTGGCTCTTAGTGGTTTGCCCTAGGCGCTTGTATCTTGAGGGGTTTTTGCTAGTATCTTACATTTAGTATTGTAGTATATGTTACCTATGGGGTTTTTGGTTTTAAAATCTAGTTGCCCTGTTTTCATGTTGTGATTTGGAGAGATTCAAAAACTGCTGCCATAGCCACCATCTTTTCAGAATCATCTATTCTGAGAAGATTCATAAAATTTCAACATTTTAACATTAGAAGGGTTCTTATTATTCAGAGAAGAAATTGTCTCAGAGTGAGTGACTAGATTTGGAACGAGGCAGATGAGAACACACGTCTCCTGATTTGCAGGCAGTTTGCTGGTGGCGACAGTGCACCACATCACCACTCTCTTTGCCACCTAGAAGGTGGTGCTGTCACCATCCTCTTACAGCAGTGTCTGTTGTCATCCTCTTTGTGTCAACACTTTTGGAGATGGCATGGAGCAGTGGGCTGATTTTGCATTATTTGTATTTTTCTTTCTGAATATTGCCATACTAACTCAATGTTATGTTGAAAATAATGTTTTTCTTAATTTATCAAGTAAATTATTTTGTTTCAGTCTAATTTTCTTGGAGTCGCATAGTTCATAAGATTCTACATAAGCATTGTGCTCCACCATACAGATCATTAATTTATTCAGCAGATCATTAACCATGCAGATCATTAATTTATTCAGCAGATATTCCTCCCTACTTTGTGCTGGGCCTTGTATCAGAGGCTGGGGATACTGTGGTGATGCACAGACACAGGCAGGCAAAGAGGCATTATCCATGGTGGGAGAAACACCTTGCAAGGAGAACATACAGGGTGCAGCAGGGACGTATAACATGATCCCTAACTTCTGTTGAGGTCACGGAGGGCTTGTTAGCAGCAGGAATATGGAAGTCAAAGGCTGAAAGATGAATAGGCTCTAGCAGATGACCAGCATGGATAAGAAGAACCCAGGAAAAGGGAATGGAATCTGCAAGGCACATTCAAGAATACTGAAGTGAAAAATCAAGAATATACTGAGTTACTGACGCTAATAGCCAAAGTGATAACTAAAAGTAAGTAAGAAATCATGTTGTAAGTCAGCTTAAGGGGGTACTCCTGGTTTTAAAACAGGTGCTGTTTTTCTCAAATTTGGCGTGGAAATTTGACCATAGGTGTGGTAGAGGGATACAAGGTTCCATAAACTGGCAGATGCAATTATAGAACGGATATGTGCATCTCTTTTGCTTTAATTTTTATTGTAGGTAGTTTCTTTACTCATTTTTTGATAGTTGACTAATTCCAAATTTTATAATAATTATAGAAATACAAGTGAGGAAGCTTTTCTCTGTGTTTTATAATCACTTAAAATATTTATAGACACTTCTTCTGAGGCACTAAAATACTTACTTTTTTTAATTGCCTATGTGTAAGTTTACAGGGCTTATTTATGTATTCTTTGTGGTCTCTCAACTTAGCATATTTTTTCTACAACAACGTAATAATAATAAATACAGTGATTTACCATATACAATATAAATGTGTTATCTTTACTAGTTTTCTTTACACAGATAAAAAAATCTATTAATATCTTATATATTAAAAGTAAAAACCTAAGTGTGCAAAATGTATGTTTTATTTTTGAAAACTAGGTTGGTGTGTGATTTGCCCTCTATCTAAATGTTAGAATTGACTTAGTTTCAGAGCTGGTGCCCAGAGTTTCTCACAAAGGGTTTCCTGCATCTGCTGGCTCTAGCTGATAAGAATCCAGTGTTTAAGCCTTTTGTTTATCTAAGGAAATTCCTGTTAGGTGTGTGCACATTCCCCTTTGTTTTCAGTATTAACCTTAGTGAGTTGGCCATAAGAATACGCAACACACTATTCTTTTAGCAAAATCCTTTTGCAGATGGGGGAGGCTTTCCTGCAGATGGGCATAAGCTGGTCAGAGCCACTATTATGTTTCAGACCACTATATGGACTGATACTTCAGTTAATGACAAGCTGCTTAACTGGTTTTAAAAAATAACATCTGTATGCATCAATTAGATAAGATATTCTGCACTGGGAGTATATTTTCAGTAACTCGAAATAATTTATTATAAATATATTTAAATTCAAAGAGGCCTTCGAAGTAGTTTTTTGCTGTAGCAAATTAAACAGTTGATTCTATGTAGATACATTTAGATGGTATTTGAATGTTTTTCTTTTGTGATATCCACCATATCTACAAGCATAATGGGTTTGATAATCAGAGCCTGAGACTTACTGTTTCAGTTAAGTCAGACCTGTGTTAAAGCCAAAATTATTGTGCCCAGATAACTATTCCTGCAGCTGTGTATTGCCATTTTTAACTAGGAATGCTTTGTAGTACTTTTTATTCTTGACTTCCTATTAGAAAATGATTTTAGAAAAAAAACAGTGACAGTGACAGAATTTCTTACTTTTCTCAAATAACAGTAAATAATATTTTCTGAACTACTGTTTATATCACCTTTTGCTTATTTAATCAATAATTTTCTCTTTGAAAATGTGAAGTTATTTTGCAGTTTGTTTGGAAAATGTATGGTTTTTTAGCTAAAATGCAATTTTAGAGTAAGGTAGATTTATTATTTATATAAATATTTATTAACAAATTGATATTTGCAAGAAAATTTCAAATTTTTATTTATTTTTATTTTTTATTTTTTTGAGACGGAGTCTTGCTCTGTTCCAGGCTGGAGTGCGGTGGCGCGATCTCAGCTCACTGCAAGCTCCGCCTCCCGGGTTCACACCGTTCTCCTACCTCACCCTTCCGAGTAGCTGGGACTACAGGCGCCTGCCACCACGCCCGGCTAATTTTTTTTGTATATTTAGTAGAGACGGAGTTTCACCGTGTTTGCCAGGATGGTCTTGATCTCCTGACCTCGTGATCTGCCCGTCTCGGCCTCCCAGAGTGCTGGGATTACAGGTGTGAGCCACCGCGCCCGGTCGAAAATTTCAAATTTTTATGGGGAAAAAGTAGAGGGTGCTTCATTGCTTTAAGTCATTTTAATTATTTAGATGGATTGCAACAAAAATTCATTTCTCATTTCAGGCCTTTGAGGACCTCAGCAAACTAATGATCAAGGTATATATCATTTATGCCTATTAAATTCATACCAATTATGATACAGTTTTTGAAATATATTTTGTAAGCAGACATTTTGGGGACAATATTGCTTTTTCAGTCTTTACTTTTTATTTGACAGGCTAAAGAAATGGTGGAGTTATCAAAATCAATTGCTAATAAAATTAAAGACAAACAAGGTGACATCACAGAAGATGAGGTAAATAAGTTGCTTTTTTTAAGGCATTTGAAACTAGATAACACAAATAATGCAGGAAGGTTTTTGTGGTTTACGTTGTCTGAATGTACTGTTTTATTTATTATTTATGTTTTATTTATTATTTATTTATTTATGAGACGGAGTCTCGCTCCGTCGCCCAGGCTGGAGTGCAGTGGTGTGATCTCGGCTCACTGCAACCTCTGCCTCCCGGGTTCAAGCGATTCTCCTGCCTCAGCATCCTGAGTAGCTGGCACTACAGGCGTGTGCCACACGCCCGGCTAATTTTTTGTATTTTCAGTAGAGACCGGGTTTCACCGTGTTAGTCAGGATGGTCTTGATCTCCTGACCTGGTGATCTGCCTGCCTTGGCCTCTCAGAGTGCTGAGATTACAGGCGTGAACCACCGCGCCCAGCCTGTTTTATTTCTTTTAGGACTTGAGGATATGTGAAAGTGCCAAAGAAAAGTCAACCATAAAAATTATATTAGTTCTATTAGGATTAAAGGCTATTTCAATGCCTTTTTTTAGAGTGTAGAAAACAGAAATACTGAAATGTACAAGGAGTGGCTGTCCTAAGTTTGATGTTTGTTTCATTCAGTTTGTCTACAATCTAATCACAGCTATTTTCCTAAGTTTTCAGTTGTACTATTTGGTTGGCATTAAATATAGCAGAGGCATTTTCTGAATCTCACATCAAACTTGTGAAGTAAACAGAATATGAGAGACCAGCAGAGAAGTAGGAAGGAGAATAATTAGATGTGTGCAGGGAACTCCTGGAAATCTGCTCTCTTACAGTTCACAGCACAGAAACACAGTAGAAGGAATGGGGATATGTAGAAATTATTGAGTGGAATTGAATTTTTGTCATGGAAGAATTTCAAATATTAAGGTGGAGAGACAATTCTGCATTTTCTCCTCTTTTATTATAGACCATCAGGTTTAAATCCTACTTGCTGAGCATGGGAATCGCTAACCCAGTTACCAGAGAAACCTACGGCTCAGGCACACAGTACCACATGCAACTGGCCAAACAGCTGGCTGGAATATTGCAGGTGCCTTTAGAGGTAAAAATTAAACCTACGTGTTTTTTTTAAACTATGTGAAATTAGCCGTATGTCATCAGAAGTGTTAAAAAGAGCATAACTCCTTTCATGATATGGTTATTGTCAACTGACATGTTTTTTTTTTTCTTTCAGGTATATTAAATAAGTTCACTGTGCTTATTATTCTTTGTAATTTTCTAATTTGTTTTTAATTTTCATTTTTGACATCTATAACTTTCTAAATCTATTTGATACGAAGTTTTCCTTATTTTTAAAAAGGAAATATATGATCTTTCTCTGAATAGATGTATTTCCATACATCTAGTCTTTACTATTTAGTACTATTAATCATTCCATAATCCAGATTCATCTTCTAGTCTGATAGTATTCAGGCAATCAAAAGTTTATTAAAGCACTTGTATTAAAAAAGATTTCAAACCTATGCCAAATAGAATAATATAATGAATCCTCTGTAGCCATCATCCAGCTTCTTCTGTAAACCAACCTGCACTCAAAATTATATGAAAGCAAATCCCAGACATCACATCACTTTATCTGTAAACATTTCAGTATGTAACTCTAATGATAAAGACTCCTTTAAATACAACTATAATCCCATTTCATAATCTAAAAAATTAAAATAATTTCTTAATGTTATCTAATATCTAGTGTTCACGTTTTCTTTTCCACCACGGTACCTGGCTAATTTTTTGTATTTTTAGTAGAGATGGGGTTTCACCATGGTCTCCATCTCCTGACCTTGTGATCTGCCTGCCTCAGCCTACCAAAGTGCTACATTTTCTTTCTTTTTTTTTTTTCTTGAGACAGAGTCTCACTCTTGTCGCCCAGTCTGGAGCACAGTGGCGCAATCTCAGCTCACTGCAACCTCTGCCTCCTGGGTTCAAGCAATAATTCTGCCTCAGCCTCCTGAGAGGCTGGGATTACAGGCGCCCGCCACCACGCCCGGCTAATTGTTTTATATTTTTAGTAGAGATGGAGTTTCACCATGGTGGCCAGGCTAGTCTCGAACTCCTGACCTCAGTTGATCCCTCCGCCTTGGCCTCCCAAAGTGCTGGGATTACAGGTGTGAGCCACCGAGTCAGCCTAGTATTCACATTTTCCCTTACAGTTGGTCTGTTTCAATCCGGATTCATTGCAGTTTGTTGATTTGTTTCAAAAGTTTGTTTGTTTGTTTGTTTTTAATTTCATGGGTTCTTTCTTCTCTGGCCTCTCTTACCTCCCACCCCACAATGTGTTTCCTGAAGAAATTAGTTGTTTAGATTATAGAGTGTGCTTTTCCTGTCCTATGTATTTCCTATAAACTGGTATTTATAATAAAGGTTTGTTAGGGTTTTTAAAAATTATTATTGCAAGACTATTTCATAGAGGCTGTTGTGTACTTCCATCAAGAGATACATAATGTCCAATTGTCTTTTTTTAAATTAAAAAAAAAATTTTTGTGATGTTAACAGCCATTGATAGTCATTACCTCGATCTGTTATTTCATTGGAGGTTGCAAAATGGTAATAGTCTTATTTAATTCTATACTTTTTTCATTTATTAGCTAGAGTAAGTTAAAACATTTAAATGTATTTTTTGAAACATGGTGTAGAGCCCCTTTTTTCATTTAAGTAAATGTTAAAATGGTAATGAGGCCGGGCATAGTGGCTCATGCCTGTAATCCCAGCACTTTGGGAGGCTAAGGTGAGCAGATCATTTGAGGACAGAGGTTCGAGACCAGCCCAACCAACATGGTGAAACCCTGTCCCTACTAAAAATACAAAAAAATTAGCCAGACGTGGTGGTGCATGCCTGTAGTAACAGCTACTCAGGAGGCTGAGGCAGGAGAATTGCTTGAACCCGGAGGCAGAGGTTGCAGTGAGCCAAGACTGTACCACTGCATTCTGGCCTAGGTGACAGAGAGAAACTCCATCTCAAAAAAATAAAAATAAAAAAATAAAGTGGTAATGAATTAAAATGCAAGTATTGAATCTGAACTGCCTCGTGGTATCTGAATAGGTTCTCCTTTGTATAAATAAAGTTTTTTATAAACTTCTTAAAAATTTTTATGATATCTGATTTCGCTGTGATTATGATTTCTGTTAAGAAATGCTAACTGGTGTAATTGTAACATAATACTTTTTTTAAAATTTCATATTTTAACAGGAACGAGGGGGAATAATGTCACTCACGGAGGTGTACTGCTTAGTAAACCGAGCTCGAGGAATGGAAGTAAGAATAGAAAATTTAAATATTCTTTTAACTAAATATAGACTTTCTTAATACAAATTCCGAATACAATTTGAGGAAGGGTTGTGAATATCAAAGCTATTTTGAGAAGCACTGTGGTACAGTGAAAAGAATACTGCCCTGGGATCTAGGAGGTAGATTCTTTTCTTGGTTTTGATAGTGATTTGCTTAGTGACCTTCAGTAGCTTACTTAACATCTCTGAGACTCAGTTTTCCTTCTCCTTTTTTTATTTTTATTTTTTGCTATTCAAAACTTTTTCTATTTTTCTTTATAATTGACACAATAATTGTACATATTCATAGGGTACTATATGGTGTTTCAGTGCATGTATACATTGCATAATGATAAAATCAGGGTGTATTAGTCCATTTTCACGCTGCTGATAAAGACATAACTGAGACCGGGCAATTTTTAAAGAATTTTTGAAGAAAGACAAAAGAAAGAGGTTTAATTGGACTCACAGTTCCACATGGCTGGGGAGGCCTCAGAATCATGGCGGAAGGCAAGGAGGAGCAAGTCACATCTTATGTGGATGGTGGCAGGCAAAGAGAGCTTGTGCAGGCAACTCCTATTTTTAAAACCATCAGATCTCATGAGACACATTCACTACCAGCAGAACAGCACAGGAAGGACCCATCCCCCTAATTCAATCATCTCCCACCAGGTCCCTCGAACAATACATGGGAACTGTGGGAGCTACAAGATGAGATTTGGATGGGGACACAGAACCAAACCATATCACAGGGCAATGAAGATATTCATCAATTTAAACATTTATCATTTCTTTCTGGTAATAACATTAAAAATCCTCTCTTGTCTGTCATATGCAGCCATAAGAAAGAGTGAGATAATTCTTTTGTGGGAACATGGATGGAGCTGGAGGCTATTATCCTTAGCAAACTAGTGCAGGAGCAGAAAGCCAAATACCCATATTCTCACTTATAAGTGGGAGCTAAATGATGAGAGCTTATGAACACAAAGAAGGAACGATAAACACTGGAATGTACTTGAGAGTAGAGACTAGAGGGAGGGAGAGGGGCAAAACAGATAACTATTGGGTACTGGGCTTAATATTGATACCTAGACAATGAAGTAATCTGCATAGCAAACCCTAATGACACAAGTTTATCTGTGTAGCATACTTTCACATGTACCCCCTAATCTAAAATAAACATTTTTCAAAAAACAGAGATAGTATCAACTTAAGTGTCCATCAGTGATGAACGGATAAAGAAAATGTTGGATACATACAAATGGAATACAATTCAGTCATAAAAAAAGAATGAAATCACATCCTTTGCAGCAACATGGAGAAATTAGAAGTCCTTAGGTTAAGTGAAGTAAGCCAGACACAGAAAGACAAATATTTCTTGTTCTCACTCATGTGGGAGCTAAAAAAGCTACTCTCACTGAAGTAGAGAATAGATGATAGATATCAGAAACTGGGAAAGGTGTATAGGTAGGAGCGGGGAAGAAGAAAGGTTGGTTAGTAGGTACAAACATACTGTTAGAAGGAATAAATTCTAATGTTCAATAGCAGAGTAGGGAGGCAACAATGTATTGTATATTTCAAAGTAGCTAGAAGGGAGGACTTGAAACATTCCTAAAACATAGACATGATAAATACTTCAGGTAATAGGTACCCCCAAATACCCTGACCTGATCATTACACATTTTATGCATGTGTATTAATAAAAATAGCCCCTGTACACTGTAAATATGTAAGATATTATGTATCAATAAAAAGTACTCGGGGCCGGGCATGGTAGTTCACACCTGTAATCCCAGCACTTTGGGAGGCTGAGGCTGGCGGATTGTCTGAGGTCAGGAGTTCGAGACCAGTCTGGCCAACATGGTGAAACCCCATCTCTACTAAAAATACAAAAAAATTATCTGGGCATGGTGGCATGTGCCTGTACTCCCAGCTACTCAGAAGGCTGAGGCAGGAGAATTGCTTAAACCAGGGAGGTAGAGGTTACAGTGAGTCGAGATTGTGCCATTGCACTCTAGCCTGGGGGACAGAGCAAAACTCCATCTCAAAAAAAAAAAAAAAAGTACTCAGAAACAAAAAAAAAAGGACTACCCTGCATTGTCATTATCTAGTCACTGTGTAATATAGCAGCAGAATTCATGCTTCCTGTCTAACTGTAACTTTGTATCTGTTGACCGACCTCTCTCCATCCCCCACTCCCACCTAGCCTCCCCAGCCTCTGGTAGCCACTCTTCTACTCTCTGCTTCTATGAGATCAACTTTTTTAAGATTCTACATGTAAGTGAGATCAAGTGGTGGTGTCTTGCTATGTCTGGCTTATTTCATTTAACATAATATCCTCCGGGTTCATCCATGTTGCTGCAAATGAAAGGATTTTATTCTGTTTTGTGCTGAATAGTATTTCACTGTATATATGTACCACATTTTTTTTTTACCTTTAAAATTTTTGTTTTGTTTTGTATTTTTGAGACAGAGTATCACTCTGTAGAGTGCAGTGGCACAACCTCGGCTCACTGAAATCTCTGCCTCCCGGCTTCAAACAACTCTTGTGCTTCAGCTTCTCAAGTTGCCGGGATTACAGCCGTGTGCCACCACATCAGGAGAATTTTCATACTTTTAGTAGAATCGGGGTTTCCCCATGTTGGCCAAACTAGTCTTGAACTCCTGACCTCTGGTGATCTACCCACCTCGGCCTTCCAAACAAAGTGCTGGAATTACAGGCATGAGCCGCCATGCCCGGCCCCCACATTTTTATTTTTTCTTTTTTATGGATACATAATAGTTGTACATATTTATGGGGTACATGTGAAATTTTGATACAAGCATATGTGTAATGACCGAATCAGAGAAATTAGGGGTCTGTCACCTCCAGTATTTATTATTTCTTTGTGTTAGGAACATTCCAATTCCACTTTTGTAGTTACTTTGAAATATACAAAAAAAAAAAAAAAGAGAAGTATACAATAGGGTTGGGCGTGGTGGCTCACACCTGTAATCCCAGCACTTTGGGAGGCTGAGGCAGGCAGATTGCCTGAGGTCAGGAGTTTGAGACCACCCTGGCCAACATGGCGAAATCCTGTCTCTACTAAAAATACAAAAATTAACTGGGCTTGGTGGTAGGCACCTGTAATCCCAGCTACTTGGGAAGCTGAGGCAGGAGACTCCCTTAAACTAGGGAGGTGGAGATTGCAGTGAGCCGAGATCACACCACTGCACTCCAGCCTGGGCAACAGAGCGAGACTGCATCTCAAAAAATAAATTAATTAAAAAAAAAAGAAATACAATAGATTATTGTTAACTATAGTTGCCCTATTATACTACTGGATGCTATTGTCTTATTCTCCCTTTTTTTTTTTGAGACGGAGGCTTACTCTTGTCACCCAGCCTGAAGTGCAGTGGCACAACCTCAGCTCACTGCAACCTCCACCTCCCTGGTTCAAGCAATCCTCCTGCCTCAGTGTCCCAAGTAACTCGGAATTACAGGCGACCACCACCACGCCTGGCTAATTTTTGTATTTTTAGTAGAGACAGGGTTTCTCCATGTTGGCCAGGCTGGTCTCAAACTCCTGACCCCAGGTGATCTACCCACCTTGGCCTTCCAAAGTGCTGGGATTACAGGCGTGGGCCACTGTGTCTGGCCTCGTATTCCTTCTAATTGTATTTTTGTACCCATTAAACCAACCTTCTTTATCCCTCCTTCCCCACTACTCTTCCCACCCTCTAATGACCATTTTCCTACTCTCTATCTGCATGAAATCAGTTTTTTTAACTCCCACATATGAGTGAGAACATGTGATATTTGTCTTTCTGTGCTAACTTACTTCACTAAACAATGTCTTCCAGTTCCATCTATGTTGTTGCAAATGATGTTGACTGTTGTGAAGAGTGCTGCGATAAACATAGAAGTACAGATTTCTCTTTGATATACTCCTTTCCTTTCTTTTGGATATATACCCAGCAGTGGGATTGCTGGATCATGTGATAGTTCTATTTCCAGTTTTTTGAGAAATCGCCATAGTGTTTTTCATAGTGACTGTACTAAATTACCTTCCCACCAACAATCTGTAAGAGTTCCCCTTTCTCCACAACCTTGCCGGCATTTAGGGAGCCAGTTTTCTTACCTTTAATATAAGGGTTTGGACTGAATGAAACTGTTCAGCTCTAATATTTTCTGTTTGTATTGTGATAAATAAAGTTGTTCAGGAAGCCCTTCCTCTGCAATAGTTAACTCTTTTGAATCAACTCAGTTGGAACAAGTTGCCTTGTAGATAATGCAGAGGGAAAGCTGCGCTGCCCCTTTGCCTGGGTATCAGCAGTGGCTATTTTTCAGCTGTCCTTGTTCCTTCACATCCAGATGTCCTTGGCCTCCAAGGTTCTGTCTAGGTATTCTTTGTGCCCCGACAGTCACCTCCATGCAAATGGCTCACCCAGTCCCATGAGTTAAGCCCCTGCTCTGTGTTTTTATCTGAATACTGATCATAGCTACCATTAGTGAGTACTTACCATCCACTGGACGCTCTGCACGTGTTACCTCATTTATCCTCCCAATAACTCAAGTGGCGTGGCTACTTTTACCGTAGGGGATAATTTGGAGAATAGGAAATTGAAACTTAGAAAGATGAAATAACTTGAGCAAGGCCACAGGCAGAGACAGTGGTTTGACAGGTATTTGGATCTAAACTGGACTGGCTCTGGGGCCATCCTGTGGGACTGAAAGCTGTGCTTGTCGTCACCGCACTATGCTGATTTGTTAAGGCTGCACTGTCCAAAAGGATAGCCACATCATGTGCTGACTGGGGACTTGAAATGTAGTTAATCCAAATGAAGATAATGCTGCAAGTGTAAAAATGCACCAGATTTAGAAGGCTTCGTACAAAATAAGGAAATGTTAAATATCTCATTAATAATTTTTTGTATTGATTATATGTTGAATTGGTTCTATGTTCAATCTATTGGACTACATAAAATATATGCATTAAAATTTATTTCATGTGTTTCTTTTTACTCTTTTTTTTTTTTGAGATGGAGTCTTGCTCTGTCGCCCAGGTTAGAATGCATGGTGCGATCTCGGCTCACTGCAAACTCCACCTCCTGGGTTCAAGCAATTCACCTGCCTCAGCCTCTCAAGTAGCTGGGATTACAGGCACCCGCCACTGCGCCTGGCTAATTTTTGTATTTTTAGTAGAGACAGGGTTTCACCATGTTGGCCAGGCTGGTCTCGAATTCCTGACCTTGTGATCCACCCGCCTCAGCCTCCCAGAGTGCTGGGATTACAGGTGTGAGCCACCGAACCTGGCCTCTTTTTATTTTTTTAATGTGGCTGCTATAAAATTTACAGTGACATATGTGGCATGCATATTTTATTGGGTAGCACAGGTTTAATGAATAGAAGTCTTTGGTTCCTCTGTCAGTCTTTTTTGCTTTGTAGTGATTAAATCACCTAAAATGTTTGATAAATGGTAATTTTAAAATTTACTCTTCTGTTTTAGTGATCATTACCATTGTATAGCATTACTGGATTTTTTTTCCCTATTAGTTGCTCTCACCAGAAGATTTAGTGAATGCGTGCAAGATGCTGGAAGCACTGAAATTACCTCTCAGGTAAAGGAACCTCTGCAGGAAGTTTGCCGCCTGCAACCATGATTCTGCTTGGGGTAGATGGGAAGGCCCAGCGAAGTTTGCCGTCCCTAGTGTTAAGCCAGATTATTGCTTTCTTGAAATTATATTATTTCCTCTTTATCAGGGCTGGGCATGTCCTAACAGGGCTAGGAGTCAGACTCTTTTGGATTTGGGGGAATGAGATAAGAATGTAGGTTCTTCCCATGAGGTCAGAATAACTAGCCCCTCTTCCCTTAGACATTTTGTGTTAGTCTCTGGAGATGTTCAGGTGTGAATATTCTTTTCCTTAGGTTTAAAAAAGTACCCAGGTGGCCGGGTGTGGTGGCTCACACCTGTAATCCCAGCACTTTGGGAGGCCGAGGCGGGCAGATCACCTGAGGTCAGGAGTTCGAGACCAACCTGACCAACATGGAGAAATCCCGTTTTTCCTAAAAATACAAAATTAGCCGGGCATGGTGGCGCATGTCTGTAATCCCAGCTACTTGGGAGGCTGAGGCAGGAGAATCGCTTGAACCCAGGAGGCAGAGGTTGCGGTGAGCCAAGATCATGCCATTTGCACTCCAGCCTGGGCAACAAGAGCGAAACTCCATCTAAAAAAAAAGCTAGGCATTTTATTTAGCATGTAGACTCTAGTTCATAATTTTATTATCTGTGTATTCATGAGCTGTTTAGGATTGCCATTGTTCCTTGTGTTCAATATGTTTTAAATGTTGTTTTGTTTAATACTGCCCTCATACCTGGGCATAAAAGAAGATATAAAAGATGTGCTGCTTTTCAGCAGTTGGATATCCTAGATAATTCCTGGCTTTGTTCTCGCACCTGTGGTTTTCAGGCTCCGTGTGTTTGACAGTGGCGTCATGGTAATTGAGCTTCAATCTCACAAGGAAGAGGAAATGGTGGCCTCGGCCCTGGAGACAGTATGTGAAGCCGATTTTCTCCAGTCTTTAGAGCTTGCTACGAAGACCCGAAGGCTTAGCAACTCGAAAAACAGGATTTCCTTTTGAATTTAACTTTACTGAAAAGTAACATTCACACACCCAAATAAAAACGGTTTATCACTAACAATGAATCAGTGTTAACCAAAGTCATACGTTAAGAGCTTTTTGAAACTTCTTGACACTCTTAACATCTTACATGTAAGGAGAATTAGAATTAGTGAGGTGCTTTCTTTTCTATTAAAACTCAGTGTTGAGAACAGGTTTTTAATTTTATCAGATGTTACAACACAAACTTTTTCTTCCAGTAACACCTACATAAGCAGCTTGATAAAACACCACAAGTTTTATGAAAATAATTGCTTCAAAAATATAAAAAGCGACTGTAGTTTGGATGGATTTTACTGGCCAAATTGCCAGTATTACTCATTAGGATACTTGAAATAGTACTGTCTTCATAGCTTCTATGGTGAGCCTGTATAATTTGAATAACTTCTATTTATTATCCTTCTCATTTTCAACTAGATGAAAACCCCAAGACTACAGATATTTCTACCACATATTTTAAACTAAACCTGTGTGTAAAGTCCCTTCGCTGGAGCATTAATATGTACTCAGAATTTGTTACATATTCTTTTTCAGAGTATCATAATTCTTTTTAGGCTTTAGTACAGTGACTTTGTTACATTATGGAGAGCTTGATCTTGATATTTGAGCCTCTTGTATGTCTCTTCTGGGTCCTTCAACTTTTGTAGGATTAAGCATTAGTTAAGATTTAGTTATAGTGTGAATGTTCTTTGAATTTTAGTAGGACATTCAGTAAATTATTTCTTGCATATACATTCTGCCTACCATTAGAACCCAGAGTGTGTTTAAATTAGTGTCCTAAATTAATTACATTTTTTTTCTGCTGTGTGTTTCCATTAGGTTTCAGAAAAGGGATCCCTAACATCGGAAGAGTTTGCTAAGCTTGTGGGAATGTCTGTCCTCCTAGCCAAAGAAAGGTAAGTAAGGTTCTTACCTTTCATTACCAGGTATGTTTGTGTTTCTGCATGGACAGATAATTGTGTGGGTTTTTTTGTTTTCTTTTTTTTTAGGTTGCTGCTTGCAGAGAAGATGGGCCATCTTTGCCGTGATGACTCAGTGGAAGGCCTGCGTATACGTTTTTGCAAATTTATTTATGACACAGAGCTAAGGGTTTGTATTTAAAATCCTTTTTGTCCGATATGCTTCGTCATGTAGAGGTTGTATGACATTAGAGCTAAAGAGATAAGCCCGATCCAACTGAGAATTTATTAGAACTTCACAGTGCAATGTAAATCTCTTTTCATTTCTCACTAAATATGGTCAGGAATTTATTTAGGATATGCATAGGAAAATTCAGAAAAGTGAATGCCAATATGAATTTAAAATCATGCTGTAGTTGTGCAGAACCCTCAGGTTTAACTTGAAATATAGTAGTTTTAACCAGTTCTCAAATCTAATCATTTTATAAAGAAGGGAATTTAGTTTGCAGAGAATAAAGAGAAGTTGGGATTCAGACAGAGTTAGATTATTTTGATGCCCAGCTGAAATTCACTGATTACATAACAATGTTAGGACAAAATATACTGCAGCTTGCTATATGAGGCTCCTCCCAGGGGCTTTTAGAAGCAGTCATAGGCATGTCTTCAACATGCAAATAAAACACCTTTAAAAATGAAATAATTTTATTTGACACATATATTTATATATATTCTATCTAGTTTCTCTTTGTTTTTTAAGTGATGATTTCGCAGCTGGCATTTAAAGAATGCAACTGTGTCATTTGTTTCCAAAATGCTGTGGATTTTGAAACTGAACTAGAGAGCTGTATAGACATGCCCGGAGTTATGATTACAAATTTAGGAGGTAGACAGCTCAGGAATTCCCTGGGATTGTTGTGCTGGTGGAAAGGCAGAGGAGCCTTTAAGTAGCTTCCACAGGAACCTTAGTGTTCTTCACTACCTCAAAAGCCACAGACAGGAGATCAAGAAAGTGGAAAAGTAATGTCTCCTTTTCTTTTTCCATAGGAGACAACACTGAACTATAAAGTCTATCATATTCCCAACAATATTTTTTGCTTTGTTCTTTATACTATAAATTGTGAGGAAAAACTACTTAGGTAAGAAGTGTTACTGAAATAACAACAACTGGCTAATGCTGCATGTAGATTGCTTAGGATTTTAAAAGTGACTGCCTGATTCCCATGTTATTGTCTCTACAACCTCAGTGTGGCATTATCTCAAACTCAGGAGACCCACAGGACAGGAGACGCCCTTTCTGAAACTGAGTTGGAAGTTAAGGGTGGTGATAGTTTAATAACAAACCTGCAAGAGGAAAGTATTGTATTGGGAGCACCCTTGGAACCAGGAAGAGGCATACCCAGGTTCACACTCTGGAACCCCTAAGACATTGTCCGTGGGGTAAGGTGGAGGCCACTGCAGGGGCTGCTGCAGTGCCCTCTGGGAGGTGCCAGGGACCCTCCGCTGCCAGACCCAGGATCCCAATCCCTTATCCCTGCCTGGTAGCTGTGCTGTTTCGTGTCCTCCAGTGTCACAGGAAGGCTGTGCCTGAGACATCCCACTTTAGTTTTTGTTTTCCAAACCTGTCACTGACTCTTCATTGTGGTGTCGAATCCTCTGGTTCCCCCATTGTTCAGCCTCAGGTTTATTTTGAGGTAACTCTCAGTGTCTCACTGCCCAAGTCTTTTAGGGGTTAGTTGGACCATTGTGTAAGCTTGTTTATATGTCTCACCTCTTTCTGGGTGGTACTTACTGTCTCACACTGCTCTGGCAAACTTGTACACCACAAACACACACACTCCTCTCTCCTCTCTCTCACCTGGCTAAGGCTTTTAAAATTATAAAGATAAATAATCTGTTTCACCAGTTGGAGTGAGTTGCAAGGAGGATTGCTGGAGCTAGATCTAGCTAATGGTTTGGATTCATTACTGCAAACCTACATAAAATTATTTATGTTGTTACTTTAGTGTGACAACTGATGAAAAGAAATGGAGCAATCCAAATTGTATAAAATGACTTAAGAAGGAAGAAAAGTGACATATAAATATATTTGCAAATGCCACATTAATTTAAAAAATGAGTATGATTGATTTTACTATTTTTAAAGTGGGCATTAAATCACTGTTTCGAGACCTTTGTATGTATTTGTGTGTTTTATCTTTTTTCGGGCCATTATTATAAGGTGTGATTTTGGTCGTCTAATCATGAGAAGTTATGTTTAAATACAACCAATCAGGCCCTAAGTGCAAAAAAGTTCTGTCTTGGTGCTTATCACTGGCATAATTATTATTTTTTGTTTTCCCTAGCACATCTTAGGAGCATGAACCTCTTGTGGCTTTATGGTAATACAATGTTTCCGATCATTTACTGTATCAAAAAATTTTTACATTGTGTTAGTGAAGATTGTGTTTTCAAGGTTAAATGATTGAGTATTAATGTATATAGAGTAAAGTATTACAAAATTTAAAAATGATTTTCTTGTATTTTTAAATACTCTGAAAAATATATGCAAATGATAAGCCTTTAATCATACTAAAGCCAGTTATGTTAAGAATTTTTCCTTTGGATTTTATAATTAAGAGTTGCTTATAAATATTTATGACATTGAACTGTTACTGTTTCGTTGTCTTAAAAGAATGGGACATGTCATGAACTGGTTTGGTTTTTAAAGAGTGCCAGTGTAGATTCCACTGTTGCCTGACTATGTATATTCAGATGAATGTACTCTTTCTTGTTCCTTGTTACCAGATTAATCTGAGAGAATGTGGATTCATCTTGTCATCATTCTCATGCTCAAATACTTAAAATGGTTCTTTTGCCCAAAAGTCTCAGAGTCTTCATTTTTGGTACAGGTGGGTCACAACTTGGAAGGTGGTTGGAGTTTTAGGAGCCGTGCCTAAGGACAAAATTGAGCATGCTCAGAATGGTCCTTGAAAATCTCCTAAATTACCAATGAAGTTCTCTTTGTAGTCTTAAAGTTTAAATTCCTGTGGAGGTGATAACAAGGTATGAATATAATATACTTATATTAAGTACAAAAATACAAACTGCATATCAAGGTAGATTCTTGTAGCATTAATAATTTACATGCATGTCTTTTTCCAATGGGGTATGGTTGAATTTATGTAAATTTATTTATAATCCCATCCCTTACAATCTAGAGTATAAGCTGCTGAGGCAGAGGTTTTGTCTGGTTTGTTCATGGATGTATCTTAAGAATGAGAACAGGGCCTGGACACAGTAAGCATTCAATAAATATTTACTGAATGAATGAGCGTGACCTATATTCCTATTTATAATTTGGCTCCACTTTATCCTACTTTAGCTCCCATTCAATTCAATGAAACATACATTTTTGAACATATAGCAATTTTTGTAGAGCAATTTTGTTGGGCACTGGTAGTGGGAGGAGATACAAGATGAATAAGATACAGCTCTGTCGTTAAGAAAAGGGAGACCTAGTTGGGGAAACAGACGTGTAAGTGACTTTCACTGAAGATAGAATGAAGTAAGTACCATGGAAGGCATATGTACCATGCTGGAAGACAGAGGAGCCCTTAGTCCTGCTGGAGGCTTTGTAGCAAGACTTTGTGGGAAAGGAAGAACCTGGTAAGCTAGGCTCACAAAGACCAAGAGATTTTCAGTAAGTGGAAGGTGTTGGGAAAAGGGAACAGCAGAGATGTGCCCCTTCCTGCTCCTGGATATTTCCCTTGTCTGTCCAAACCTCCCTTCTTTACTTCTTCCCACTCACCTCTCCTCTCCCGCCCCCACAATCTAAATTACTGCTCAATCCTGCCTGCTCCAGAAATGTTTCCAATACACAGCTCTATTGACACTAAACTCTATAAAGTTATTGTCTTTCCATATGCTTAACTATATTTTGTCTTGTTCTCTTAAATGTTGTCTTGATACCATAAGAAAATAGAGAAACTAGGTTTACGTTTAAAGACTGTCATGTAACATTTCTTTGAATTCTCACTGGCCTAAGGTCAGTGACTGTACATGGTAGATTCCTAGTAAAGTATTAACTGAATTGGGTGATTTTTGAATTACAGTACTGAGTCATGCATGAGTTGCCCTAGTAAACCAACTCTGTCTTTTTACCCTCTTCCCAGAGGAGTTTCTCAGCCAGACATCAGGCTTAGCCTGTCTGAGCAAGGATCTGCTCTGTCTTACTCAAATATGGCATGGGCCATGTGCATGATATGGAAAGCACTCTCGTAGTTGTTAGATACACATGTAAGTTCTTGTTATTACAGTGTGGAAATTGGGCCATTCGTCTTCTTCCTTGTGTCCTGATACGAAATCCTTGCAAGGTCAGTTATAGCTTTCATCTCAGAGCATTGCAAGAAAAAAGCTCTCTCCATTTGTATAAACAGGTTATTGAGATAGTGTATAAATTTTATACAATTTGCACAAGATTACTAGATCAATCCACTTCTTAGCAAGAGAATTGAAGGTATTTGAGAGCCAGATCAGTTATAGTTCAATACTGGCCATACCACTGTTGTTTGAAAGCTTTTTGCCTTTCATTTTTATATTGCCTTCTTTTAGAAAATGTTAAACTATATCTTAACTGTCCAATAAAGACAGCGAGTACAGTTTAGCAAGAATTCTAATGGAGACAAAATTGACCAGTCAGTTCAATAAAGCTGTTATTTAAATATGACCAAACTATCACTTGTACCTGGATTTCCACCCTTGAAGAGTAGTTTTGGGGAAAAAACATATGTGCCTGAAGATTAATGCAGAAAGTTGCCTCCGATATGTTTCACTTAATCACTATAATATTTCACAATAACTATTATATACCTTCTACAGTGAGGGAAGGAGTGATTAAGAAATCTACCCAGGTTGCAGTGTCAGGGCTGGAGTTTAATCTGAACCTTTGTCTAAAGTGTATCTTTTTACTTATACAGTGTGAGTAGGAGGTCCAACTTCATTCTTTTGCATGTGGCTATTTGGTTATGCCAGCACCATTAGTTGACCGTTAAATGGTCTTGCTTTGCTGTCAAACAATTGACCATATGCTTGCGTATGGGGTTTTTGTTTTTTTAAAAACTCAATCGACCATAGATAGGTTTCTGAACTTGCAATTCTAGCTATATATCTATCTTTTTGCTAATATCACACTGTCTTGATTACTACTGCTTTTTCAGCAGTAAGTTCTTTTTTTTTTCTTTTTTTGAGACCATCTCTCACTCTGTCACACAGGCTGGAGTGCAGTAGCACATTCTGAAGCTCACTGCTGCAGCCTCTGCTGCCTCCCGGGTTCAAGCAATTCTTCTGCCTGAGCCTCCTGAGTAGCTGGGATTACAGGTGTGTGCCAACATCCCGGCTAGTTTTTTGTTTTTTTTTGAATAGAGATGGGTTTTCGCTGCTGGTCAGGCTGGTCTCAAACTCCTGACCTCAAGTGATCCACCTGCCTTGGCCTCCCGAGAGTGCTGGGATTACAGGCATGAACAAGCATACCCAGCCTGTAGTAAGAGATTCTGGGGGTGGAAAATGTGAGTCCTCCAAATATGCTCTTCATTTTTTTCAAGATTGTTTTATCGTGTTCTGGATTCCTTATACCCCCATATAATTTTTTGTTTGTTTGTTTGTTTGTTTGTTTTGAGACGGTCTGGTTCTATTGCCCAGGCTGGAGCACAGTGGCACAATCTCGGCTCACTGCAACCTCTACCTTCTGGGCTCAAACAATCCTCTCACACTCTGCTTCTGATGGTTGGAACTACAGGTGCACACCACCACACCAGCTAATTTTTGTACTTTTATAACTCCAATGCCTGCTCTTTCCACTGAGCTTTTGCTTTTAAGATTGGAAATGCCAGGGGCTGGGTGGTATGTATTTGAAAAATAATTCTAGTGTAAATTGGTGAATGGAAATTAGACTAGATAATTCTACAGCAGTGAAATTGGATGATCACCTTAAAGTCTTCTTTGAAACTTTGGATGGATTTAATTAGTATTGCTAGAAGTAACTATTTGACAAGATTGGAGTCTCACTCTGTCACATAAGCTGTGAGTACAGTGGTGTGATCACTGTTCTCTGTGGCCCCAGCCTCGGGCTCAAGTGAATTCTCCCACCTCAGCCTCCAGGTAAGCTGGGACAGCAGGTGCACCTGCCACCACACCTGGCTAATTTTTATTTATTTTTTGAGATGGGGTCTCACCCAGCCTGTGCGGTGGCATCATCTTGGCTCACTGAAGCCTCCACCTGGGTTCAAGTGATCCTGCCTAAACCTCCCAAGTGGTTGGGACCACAGGCATATGCCATCACAGCCAGCTAGTATATTCTTCTATTTTGGTAGGAGACGGGAGTTTGCCACAGTGCCCAGGCTGGTCTTGAACTCTTGAGCTCAAGCAATCCACCCGTCTTGGCCTCCCAAATAATTTCTTATTTATTGTGGCGATAGAGCCTCACCATTTTGCCCAGGCTGATCTAAAACTACTAGGCTCACGCAATCCTCCTGCCTTGCTTCCCGAATTGTTGAGATTACAGGCATGAGACCCCACTGCACCTGGCTGTAGAGACAAGTTCTTAGAAAATTTTTATACCTCTGGTAACATAGGTAAATGCTTGTACTACCTTTTAAAATGAAGTGATGGGAGTCAAAGATCCCCGTCACATATTTTTAAAATGTTGTTGATGAAATTAGAAGTTACAAACTGCAATGCACAGATCTTCAGTCAAAGCGAGTTTTAACAAATGCTTAGCAAATCCATGTAACTCACACTCCGAACAATGAGAACATATCTGCCGCCCCTAAAAAGTTCCCCTAAATTGCCTGCTTTCAGTCATCCGCTCTCAGAGGCCACCACTGTGCTTTGATTTCCATTTACTGGATATTAGTTTTTGCTGTCAATTGGTATATTCTGCATAAAGAAAAGCAAGTCGTAAGCCATACTGTCATTTACTCAATTTAACAAGCACAGCTGTTAAAATTGGAATCTATCCTCTCATATTTTCCAAAAAACTTAAAACTTTTTATTAAATTTTAGTTTTAGATTTGGGAGTCATATCAAATTTGTTACAAAGGGTAATTGCATGTTGCTGAGGTTTGGGCTTCTATTGGTCCTGTCACCTAGATAATGAACGTGAATTACCCAATGGGATGTTTTTCAGCGCTGCCCCTTTCCCTCCCTCCCTTGACTTGGAGTCTCAATTGTCTGTTGTTGCCATCTTTATGTCATGAGTACCCATTGTTTAAGCTCCACTTAAGTGAGGAGCATACGGTTTTTGGCTTTCTGTTTCACTTAGGATACTGTCCTCAACTGCACATCCATGTTGCTAAAAATGACGATATTTTGTTCTTTTGTAACAACCCAGAGTATTACGTAGTGTGTATATACCACATTTTCTTTACTCAGTCCACTGTTGATGGGCACCTAGGTTGATTCCATGTCTTTTGCTATTGTGAATAGTACTGTGATAAACATGGGAGTGCAGGTGTCTTTTTGCTTGAGAAGGATTTGTTTGCTTTGAGGATACGCGGTAATGGGATTGCTGGAGTGAGTGATAGTTCTGTTTTTAGTTCAGAAATCTCAAACTGCTTTCCACAGTGGCCAAGACTAATTTCACATTCCCCATAAAGAACTTTTAACACTTGCAGAGTAGGGTTTTAAAATGTTTAGTTATTTTTAATAACCAATTCCTGACCCAGGAAGGAAAATGGAGATGCACTTTACCTGAACTATGTTCTTTTGAAACTCTTCAATGACATTTTGGGAAAGCAAGGTTTACAGCCCACATGCTGGTACCACTTCAAGGACGCTTAGTTTTTGTGGTCTCCCTGAAGAAAATGACACTAGGAGTAGAAGTGATTGAATGTGAGTGTCAGGAGATTGCTGGCTCGTCCTTAGATTAAACCCTGATCCGGCTGTGCTGTGGACGTGGGTGTATGTTGAGGATGCGTCTGCCGGGAGGCCCGCACCCCCTGCCGCTGGACCTTGGCCGCAGCCGCGCGTTTTCCTGCCACATTTTCCCTGACCAGCAGCTGGCGAGCTGGGGGCGGGCAGGAAAAGGATACCGCTGCCAAGAAGGGCAAGGCCGACCACGCCCGGTCCCGGGTGTCCCCCGCCCTCCCGGTGCCCGCCCTTCCCGCCGTCAAGGGGCGGCCCAGGGGGCGGGGCTGTGGGAGCCCCCTAACGTCGCGGGGTCAGGGCGCGCAGTCCGGGACGCCGGGATGCTCGGAGCGCTGCGCGCGGCCTGAGGCCTCCCGTCCGCCTCGCCACTCGCCCGGCCGGCCTGGCGTCGCTGCCCGTCGGTCTGGAAAGGTAAGAAGCGCCCTCCGCATCCCGGCGTCCGCCCCAGCGGGCGCTCCTCTGCCGCAAGACCCTCAGGCTCCGCTGGGGTCAGAAGTGCCCCGGACCCTGCCCACCTCCCAGCAGCCTGAAGGCGCAGGTGGACGCTGGCGGCCCCTCCACACCCCCGCCTCGGCCCCAGGGGACGCTTTTAAGCAGTATTGGTCTCCCGCACCTCAGGTCCAGATTTAACTGAACCTGGCTCTGCCCTGGCTCCAGACGTTGCCGGGCTGAGACCCAAGCCACAGAACCTTGAAAAATCGCGTCTTGAGCTACTGTTTCTTTCCAAAGAAATCCTTTCTGAAGATACAAAAGAGTATGAGATACAAGGATTAGAACAAATTAAAGACCGTCCTTAGGAGGGCTTTCAGCTGACGACACGGGGGTAGATTTCCAGCGTAGACTATGAGCTTGCGGGCATTTGGGAAGCTGAGTAGATGGGGCGAGCCACGGCGTCCCAGGAACGCTGCGCAACCCTGTGGGACCAGGGCAGAGCAGACTCGAATGAACATATAAATGAAGCCTGTTTACTGAAGCTGCTTTGGAACTACAGATTTCCTCCCAATAAATACTATTCCTATATATACACAGGAACATGTGCATGTTGGTCAGAAGGGACAAAATAGCACTGTTGTTCCCTTTTATTTTTCACGAATCATTGGTCCATGGACATTAGGTGTGATTCCCTTTTCTTTTCTGCAGCCTGAAGGGAGTTTAAAGCATTTGTCCTAGCTGGTTTCAGCAAAAACATGGGGTCTGAGATTGGGTGATGCTGTTAGCTGTTGAGAATATTCACAACTTTTCCCCACCTTCTCAGCTCATACATTTAAATTTGTCTATAAAGTTTACATACAAGAATGCTATGTAGAAGTATTTTCAAATGTGTATAAAATATACCTAAGTTCTTAATTTCCTAGAACAATTCTCAAACCAAACATTATCAGAAGTCAGTGGGTATCTGGAGACAACATGTTGAAAGAAAATAAGCAAGCAAAGGAGTAGAAAGAAATTAAAGAGACATATTATGACTAATGTACTGATCATATTCCATATGATTGACAAGTAGGCTGGTCTGTTTTATAGGAGTCTTTTTCCTTTCAGCTCTAGAAATATGGAATTATCTCACCATTCTATGTTTTAGGGATCATTTTCATAAGAAAGAAAATGTGTTATCACAAAATCAGTTATGATTTGGGGCTTCAAAAATAAAAAAGATTATTGTGGTGGGAAGCAAACAAATCTGAGAGAAGCCAGTTCAACTTTTGAGGCTTGCTTCTCCTTGGTTTGGTTACCAGGTCTCAGTGACTTAAAGGAAGCATTGTAATTGTCTTTAGGGTGTCACACTTGCCCAAGTGATATGATGCTTTCTGCAAGGATCTTACTGGCTGACTTTGGCCAGGTTTCCCAGTCCATGTTCAAGGGAAAAGAATTGGGTCAAATCTGTAGCTAATTCCACCAAAACAATTTCTTCTTCTTCTCTTTTCTTTTTTTTTTTGTTTTGGGGGTAGGGGTGGCGGGGAGAGAAGGAGGGCCCTAATCGTCTGCATAGTTACATTTCAAATCTCTGCTTCCCTTTCAGGAAGTACAGTGTTTCCTTTGTTCAGCCCTGTTATTAGGCTAGCCAGGACACACAATTTCCCTTCCTTTGAATTTTAGCTTATTTCAAGTCAGTCTTGTTAATTCCACTAATTTGTGCTCTTATCTGAAGAGAGGTAACATGTATTTGGAATATATGTACTGCTTCTTAAAAGGATTAACTGTGGGCTGGGTGTGGTGGCTCACGCCTGTAATCCCAGCACTTTGGGAGACCATGGTGGGCAGATCATGAGGTCAGACATTTGAGACCAGCCTGGCCAACGTGGTGAAACCCTGTTTCTACTAAAATACCAAAAAAATTAGCCAAGAGTGTGGTGCACACCTGTAATCCCAGCTTCTCAGGAGGCTGAGGGTGGGACAATCACTTGAACCAGGGAGGCAGAGGTTGCAGTGAGCTAAGATCATGCCCACTGTACTCCAGGCTGGGTGACAGAGCAGACTCTGTCTAATAAAAAAAAAAAAAAAAAGATTAACTGTGAATAATGGGGGGGACCATCAACATTAAGAAAATATATATTTGGTTGTATTTAATATTAATACATAGTTTGTTAGACTCTAGTATGAAAGAACTATCTTAAATGCCCAGTATCTTATTCTATAGTTGAATAGTCTATATAAAATAAGTGCCTTTTCCAGCCGGGCGCGGTGGCTCACGCCTGTAATCCCAGCACTTTGGGAGGCCGAGGCGGGCGGATCACGAAGTCAGGAAATCAAGACCATCCTGGCTAACATGATGAAACACCGTCTCTACTAAAAATACAAAAAATTAGGTGGGCGTGGTGGTGGGTGCCTGTAGTCCCAGCTGCCTGGGAGGCTGAGGCAGGAGGATGGCGTGAACCCGGGAAGTGGAGCTTGCAGTGAGCCGAGATCTTGCCACTGCACTCCAGCCTGGGTGACAGAGCGAGACTCCATCTCTAAATAAATAAATTAATTAAATAAAATAAGTGCCTCTTCCAACAAATAGCTGTGAACCACAGGCCGGCAAGGTCTTCCCTGCCCTCTTAGGTAGACTGGGAAGATTGCTGTGTGAACCACCAATCTCATGATGCATTCCAGCAGCAACAAGTATTTCAGGACTGATGAAGATGATTGTTATTTATCTGTTTTCTCCTTAGGCTGCCCTAAACAAGGGAAGTCAGGGCCACATGGAGTTCACATTTAATTGTAGTATTCTGGAGTATCTTTTTTTAAAAAAGCTTTGATCGCTTGGATGTAGCTCCTAGGAATCGATAAATGAAGCAATCCTGGTAACACACCAATTGTGCAAGGAAGTGTTAGCCCATTTGTGGACGCCAGGCAGGGAGCATTTGAGTATATATAGCACAATGCTAAATTAAAGTTTAGCGGAAATTTAGTAAATTTATCAGTGTGAAATGCCAAGCAGATAAATAATGTGAAAATGTATCCAAATTGGTTATTAACTTTGATAAAATTAAGCAAATAACAATAAACTCTCCATTTAAGGATGTGCTATAAAGAGAAGAGACTTCGGTGTTGTGCAAAGATAATCTTAGTGGGTGTTGGGCATACCTGCATATTCTTGACCTGTGAGTTATAATGGAATGAAAGGGGCTTGTATAATTATAAGTCATTGCCCCAGGGAAAATTAATGTCCTCTCTAGTTTCCTTTCAATATCACTTAGGAAGTTTGAGTTTTAGAATGGTTTTGTCATTTCATGATTACTATTTTATCAATCACATTGAATGGAGCCATCATTTTTTGAGGTTCTAATTTCAGGTGTTTTTGAGGAAAAAAATCACAATCTGTACGTGAGAAGGGACATGAGGAGACTAAAGACCTGGGATTTTGCCGATCAGAATGAAACCAATGTTGAAAGACTTTTCAAATCTATTGTTGGTGGTGCTCTGTGACTATGGTGAGTATTGTGAGTATACTTAATGCTATTGGTAGGAATAAAACATAAATATGACATTTGTAAATGCATTGATGTTGATGATTCTTCATGAAGGAGGCAGGGTAGGGTCTACAGTGCGGTGCTTTCTAAACCGTGACCCTTGCAACCCTGGATTCTCTCATGCTTCAGTGATTCTGCATGATTGATTCATATTTCACTTTATATTTTTAACTCTTTAAAAAAATAATAAAAAAACCAACTCTCTCAAATTTTAAAAAATTGGAGGCAAGCATGTTACCTTGAGTTCTCTTTGATTTCCCTGTAATTCAGTGTGATAAATCACTTCATACACACATGCAATGATGTTGTGTATATTAGGGTTCTACATAAGATTTCACTTGACAGAGTTTTGGTGCTAACGTGTATTTGGAACCAATCTGAATTTCAATCCTTGAAAGTTGCGTGCTCTTAGAAAAGTCTCTTCATCTCTTTCAATCTCAGCAATAATATTGACTTCACAGGGTTGTTATGATAATATCAAGAATGCGAAACACCCTGAATGAGATAGTAGGTACTTAAAGTCTGTTCTCTTCATTCGTTTCAACTAAAAATTGAGTTCATTTCTCAGAGAGCTTTATACAACTACTGAACCAATAGAATCAACAATATGATGTAATCTTCACTACTTTTCTTTTGATGATTTCCAAATATTTCATAGACATCTAGGCAGTTGATGGTATGGGAGTGGAAGTTGTTTTTGAATTTGGTGAGGAAATTTTGATCCAAGCTATAGAGGACACTGGCTTGTGTAATGTGAATGGCACAGTTGGTTAAATGGACCACAGCACTGCTGTTCATTTCATTCAGTAGACTTCCTTTCTCAGTCTTTTCTTTTTTAAGTGTTTATTTATACAAGAAGACACCAGATTTAAGGAAAGCCAATGTGGGATTCATTTATTTTAAAGTAATTTGGCCAGGCACAGTGGCTCATGCCTGTAATCCCAACACTTTGGGAGGCCGAGGTGGGTGGATCACGACGTCAGGAGATCGAGACTATCCTGGCTAACACAGTGAAACCCTTCCTCTACTAAAAATACAAAAAAAATTAGCCGGACGTGGTGGCGGGTGCCTGTAGTCCCAGCTACCTGGAAGGCTGAGGCAGGGAATGGCATGAACCCGGGAGGCGGAGCTTGAAGTGAGCTGAGATCACGCCACTGCTCTCTAGCCTGGGCGACAGAGTGAGACTCTGTCTCAAAAACAAAACAAATCAAACAAAAAAGAAAAGTAATGTATCCCTTCTTTAAAAACAGATTACTCTGGCTGGATGCGGTGGCTCACGCCTGTAATCCCAGCACTTTGGGAGGCCAAGGGGGGCAGATCACGAGGTCAAGAGATTGAGACCATCCTGGCCAACATGGTGAAACCCCGTTTCTACTAAAAATACAAAAATTAGCTGGGCGTGGTGGCGGGCACCTGTAATCTCTGCTACTTGGGAGGCTGAGGCAGGAGAATCGCTTGAACCCGGGAGGTGGAGGTTGTGGTGAGCTGAGATCGTGCCACTGCACTCCTCCAGCCTGGGCAACAAGAGCAAAAGTCTGTCTCAAAAAAAAAAAAACACAAAAACAAAAAAACACAGATTACTCTACATGTGATAGCCTTCTACAAAAAGTATGTGTTCTTGGTTTCATAATGATAAATAAAGCATTGAAATTCTCCATTTAAACAAATTATACAAGGGTTTTTGTTGTTAAGAGCAAAATTTCTTACTGGAATATGAAAATAAAAGTTGAATGAGCATAAAAAAGAGCATAGAAGTTGAGTGCACAAGCCACCGATAAAATAAAAAAAGTAGGTATTGTCGTAGATCTGTTTTACCCCCCTTTATCTCTACTTAATACTGATCAAAATATACCATTACCTGTATACTATAGTAGTCAGGATGTGGTAGAACCAAATTGTAGTGTTTGTTTGTTTGTTTGTTTGTTTGTTTTTGAGATGGAGTCTCGCTATTGTTGGCCCGGGTTGGAGTGCAGTGGCACAATCTCGGCTTACTGCACCCTCCGCTTCCCAGGTTCCAGCAATTCTCCTACCTCAGCCTCCCGAGTAGCTGAGATTACAGGCGCCCACCACCATGCCCAGCTAATTTTTGTATTTTTAGTAGAGTCAGGGTTTCACCATGTTGGCCAGGCTGGTCTTGAACTCCTGACCTCAGGTGATCCACCCGTCTCGGCCTCCCAAAGTGCTGGGATTACAGGTGTGAGCCACCGCGCCCGGCCCAAATTGTAGTTTTCTAACAGGAGTTCTAAAGTAGCAAATTCTCCCTCTAGTACATACCTCCTATCTGCTGTTGCTGGAACCCATCAATTGCATCTTTGTTCTCCATTTCCAACGGGGCATGTGTGTCTTTTTCATTGACTGTCTCCCATCAAATCAGAATCTGATTTGCTTCATTGACAATCCCTGTCATACACAATAGACTGCCTTTTTTTTTTTTTAAGCCAGTCAAATTTAGTAGTTGGGGGTCATATACCAACTTTGGTGACACTACTGTTAATAAGTTCTGATAACCTGCTACCATCGGACCAGCCTGCAATAGACTTTCATTAGTTAACTAAGTGGTGTATGCCTCTTATTCTTAAATGGACCACAGAACCATCCTGCCCCCTTCAGATCCAAATTAGTATGACTTTGTTCTCAGTCTTAAGCACTTCCTTGGGCTGTGGTAAGTGCTGGGGTCTCTTTACCCAGCAGTTCAAGAAAGGTACCGGGTTGGGTCTGAACCAGTATACAAGCTGCACCAGAATCAGCCACCTTCCTCAACTTTGAGTCATCTCTAAACAAAAGGGAATATCCCACACTTGTTTTTGCTTAATTGGAGAAAAAAAGAACTTTATCCGATTATGGTTTTCAAACAAGTGATAATCAAGCATTCAAGTCATCCAAGTTTCATGTCTTTTATTTCATCTCATCTCAAATGAGAACTAGGTGAAATGCTGTGCTAATTAAAAACTCTTCTGTGTGCCAGGATATTCATGTGCTGATTCTAATAATCATTGATTGCTTATATATAAGGGTATTTTAAAGACTACCAGCCCAGACAAAAAAAACACATGTACCCCTTTGGACATATATATTCATGAGGCATATATAATAAGAAAAAAAATTCATATTTACACAAGTTGTTTTTCAAACCTAAAAGGAACTTCAGTCCCTTACGTCTAGAACTGTTTCTTACCCTAGTCGCGGGCCAGCTGACTGTTGCATTGCCAAATTCTGCCTTCTTTGATATGTATTTGGATAGGATTCAAAATAGAAACAAGGATTCTTGTGTGTCTGTTCTTTGCACTTTTCACTTAAGCTGCTCTGCTGGGTCTCTTTTTAAAAGATATGATTGATCCTAACAGAATGATACTTGAGAAGTAGTAGTCATCTGTCCTATCTAGGCAAATACAAGTGGCTGTAATGTCATTAAATTGCCAAGGACAAGCCTAGTTATTTCATAAATGTTCACCCTATCCCTTTGGTTATCCATGCAGAATAAAGTGTCAACATTTCTTATCCATCTAAATATGTCTGCCTCATACAACTGAGGACACTGATTCCTTTACTGGTAAAAATTCCCCAGTGCTTCTCTTGAATATCAGAAAATAATAACTTTGAAGTAAATTTAGGGTTTTACATTTAAAATAACCCAGAACAATTTATATTGTGTCATTTAGATCAAGCTTTCTCTTCACTGTATATCCATTTTCCCCAAATATCTAAACACCAGAATATGATTAACAATATGAGCTACTGGGTTTTTGATCCTAAAAATTATTATTCAAGCTGTATAGATTTTCATTGCAGATATATCACATTGTTGAATGTGGTGAATTCAGAGTATTTACCACTAATTATTTTAACAAAACTATGAAAGATGAAGAAGGAACAGAATCACTTTAGAATGGAAAGAGCACAATGGCCAGCTTCCAGGATCTGTACTCAGTATCATTTTACATCATCCCTGGCTCAGTTCTAACTTCTCTTGTCTAAAATGCTGTTTTCTGCTGGGTACAGTGGCTCATGTCTATAATCTTAGCAGTTTGGGAGTCTGAGGTGGAAGGATTGCTTGAGCCCAGCAGTTTGAGACCAGTCTCTACAAAAAGAAAATTAGCTGGGTGTGGTGGCATGTGCCTGTAGTCCCAGCTACTCATGAGGGCGAGGTGGGAGGTCGCTTGAGCCCAAGAGGTTAGGAGTATAGCAAGCAGTGATTGTGCCACTGCACACTAGCCTCAGTGACACAATGAGACCCGTCTCAAAAAAAAATTTTTTTAAATTCTGTTTTCATCAATGTCACCAATAGTCCTTCTCAAATGCACCTTTTAAAAACCAATTCTGACCACTTCATTTCAGTTCTTGGAGAAGCTGAATATCTCCTCTTGAGAGAGCCAGGCCATGTAGCACTAAGCAACGACACAGTGTATGTGGATTTCCAGTATTTTGATGGTGCTAATGGGACACTGAGGAATGTATCTGTCCTGCTGTTGGAGGCCAACACCAATCAGACTGTAACTGCCAAGTACCTCCTGACCAACCAGTCCCAGGGAACACTCAAGTTTGAGTGCTTCTATTTCAAGGAGGCTGGTGACTACTGGTTCACAATGATTCCAGAAGCAACAGACAACAGCACTCCATTCCCCTGGTGGGAGAAAAGTGCCTTTCTGAAGGTGGAATGGCCGGTCTTTCACGTTGACTTGAATAGGAGTGCCAAGGCAGCAGAAGGCACCTTCCAAGTGGGCCTATTTACCAGTCAACCACTGTGCCCATTTCCTGTGGACAAGCCCGACATTGTAGTGGATGTCATCTTCACCAACAGTCTTCCTGAGGCAAGAAGAGATTCAGGACAGCCACTGGAAATAAGAACCAGCAAAAGGACACAACTTGCTCAAGGTCAGTGGGTTGAGTTTGGCTGTGCACCCGTGGGGCCAGAAGCCTATGTCACCGTGGTGCTGAAGCTGCTTGGGCGAGACTCAGTCATTACCTCCACAGGACCCATTGACCTGGCCCAGAAATTTGGATACAAACTGGTGATGGTGCCAGAACTCACATGTGAGTCCGGGGTAGAGGTGATGGTGCTGCCTCCACCATGCACCTTCGTCCAAGGAGTAGTCACTGTCTTCAAGGAGGCACCCAGATCCCCTGGGAAGAGGATCATTCACTTGGCCGAAAACAGCCTGCCCTTGGGAGAGAGGAGGACAATTTTTAACTGTACTTTGTTTGACATGGGGAAGAATAAGTACTGCTTTGACTTTGGCATTTCAAGCAGAAGCCATTTTTCTGCAAAGGAGAAGGAGTGCATGCTGATTCGGAGAAATTTAGGTTTGTATTGAGATTTTTTAACATTTTAAATCAAATCCTTCATGGAATCAAAATTATTTAGAATTTAGGTGAACTTTACGTGAATTGTACCATCATTTTTATGGTTCATGCCTTACAATGTACCAACTGGCATTATCACCCTTAGCTGAAAAAGTAAGAATACTGGTAAACCTACTTAACGTCTTTTACGTCTCGTTTCCCCATCAGTAAAACAGGGGCAATACAAGTACATACTTCAGAGTCATGGAGATTGAACGAAATCAACATGTAACACTCAGGATAGTGCCTGGCATTTAGGAAGTGGTGAATAAACATTACATTACATTTTTAAAATCCCATTATTAAATCATATGGTAAGTTCATGGCAGAGATTATTGGAATTCAAAGCCAAATCCCAAATTAGCAACTTCTGTCTTCCTCTTAAGTCCTCTTAAGTCTCTTCTCTCTTAAGTCATTCATTATAGGAATGTGGCCTTTTTAGTGAGAAATCAAAGCAAGATTTCTAAAAATGTATTGGGATTCTGTATTCTTTGTGTAATGCCCTACCTAATCATGAAGAAACGGGGTTATGACAATTCCATTAATTCCCTATGCTGCTCTTTGCATTTCTTTCCCTTTTCTTGGGGGAAAGTCTGGTCTTAGCAAATAGTTTAATTTGGCAGAAATGGTCTCGTTCGCTTTTTATCTTTATCCCTGGTAAGCCCAGTGTCCCCTGACTGCACGAGCCTGACTGTAACCCCCAGTGTTCCTTTTTGCAAATTTACCCACTTCGTCTCCTTAAGACCCTTTCCTTTGGCTTTCTCCTCCACCACTGGCCACTTCCCTCCTTGCACTTCTTTTCTATCCAGCGTAGATTCCATGGCTCATCCCTTTAATCACCCTCCTGCCAATATCCTAAACTCCTTAGCCTCTCCTTTCGATACACTTACCAGGACACACCCCAGCTCTGCATGTATCCAGCCATCTGCCAGCCACCCACTGCACCCAAGTTGCTAAGGCTGAGTGACAAGGTTACATCATGGTGGCCTGATGCCACCATGGGTGGATCATGCTTTCACCCTTGGCAGGGCCTGCGTACTGCTCAGCATGTCACCCAGACCAGGTCTTGCTCCTGTTCTATACAACAGTCCTTTCAGACCTCCTCCACTCCCCTCAGACCTTAACCCCTGCCCACTGATTAACTCTCAGAGTTGATTTGCCAACTACCATACAGAGCAGCTGGAAGCCATTAAGTGAGAACTCCACCCTCCCACCAAAAGATCTGTATACCTGTAGATGTCAGACCCATCCTCTCACCCCATCCTCTCCCCTGCTTTCCTGCCGCCGTGGAAGAAGTGTTATTCCTTCCCTCCAGTGTGGGTCTCAGCCCCTCTGCTCATTTCAGGAACCTTCTGTTAGTCATTATCCCCTCTCTCTCCCATCCTTAACTGTCCTTCCTTTACAGACTCATTCTCATCAGTTTTGAAATGTACTTATTTCTCTTCTCCCAAAACAAACCATCCCGACCCCATGTCCTCCCCAGACATCACCCTCTTTCTTCTTCCTTCTATAGCCCAAAAACTGCTTGAAAAATTTGCCTGTACTTGAGAGTTTTTTTTTTTTTTTTTGCCTCCCATTCACTTTTCAACCTATTGCAAACTGGCTTCCATGCCCCAGTCCTCCCCTGAAATACTCTCACTGAAGCAGCCAGCAAATGAGGTACAGGACTCCAAATCCAGGGACACTTCAGCCAGCGTCTTCATTGACCTTGATTCTGTGACACCATACTTGCCCTGCTCACCTCCCCGCTCCCTGCTTGCTTCTTCACAGTCTCCTTGGCCTGCCAGTTCCACTGTCTGTCAAGTGCTGGTTGTCTTTCATTTACTCTTCACACACTTGCCAGGTGATTAGCCTTGATGCTGATGGCTCCAGGTGGACGTCTCTTCCCTGCTCATCCCCTGCACCCAGGCGCTGCATCCCTCAGATGTCTCCCTGGCACCTCAGAAGCAGCATTTCTGGACCAAGACTCATCATTGTACCCCCTAACCCTGCTTCTCAGTGTAGGACTTCACCAACCATCTTAGTGTTCAAACCAGAAGCCAGGAGTCTTCCTCTTCTTTACCTCCTATAAATGCTACATTACTGAGTCCGATGGCTTTGTCTCCTGAGTGTCTCAATCTCTCCACTTCTCTTCAGTTCCACTGGCACCACTTGGGTTAAATCTCCATTACCCCTAGCCTAGGCTCAGAACAGATTCCTAATCGGTTTCCATCTGTCCACTTGCTTCTCTCACTGCGGCCAAAAGGATTGTTTAAAATTCAGGTCAGCTGAGGCTATTCTCTTTCTTAAAACCTGTTATTTCACTAGGCATGAGGATGCAAATCCATAAAACCTTCCATGGTCAGGCTGCCCCCACATCCTCGCAGTCACCATCTCTGCACTGGGGCCCAGGACACCCTCCTCTCTCCTTCCCCTGGTTAACATTAACCCATCCTCCAAGTCTCCACTTGGGTTACTCTTCCATGACCTCAGGTTCAGTTCCTATGCTGTAAGCTGGGGCAGCATCTTTTCGTTCTTCTTTGATGGCATTTATCACTTCTGCCATTGCTTGTTTAATGTCTTTCTCCCCCTATAAATCCTTTCTGCACAGCAGATGGGGGAAGCTCACTTGGTGGCAAAACCTGACTCGTGCTGCTATGAAGCTTTTTATGGTCTTTATTTGGCCCACTTAGTGTGCCTGGCACATTCAGAGGTGCTCAATGCTTATTAAGTGAAAATTGAACTCAGATTTGGCTAGTCTCAACTAGGTATTAGGAGAAAACAATTAGGTTGAACGAATTTACTCATATATATATATATATATGTGTGTGTGTGTATATATATATATATATATTTTTTTTCCGAGACAGAGTCTTGCTCTGTCGCCCAGGCTGGAGTGCAGTGGCGCGATCTTGGTTCTCTGCAAACTCCACCTCCCAGGTTCAAGCGATTTTCCTGCCACAGTCTCCCGAGTAGCTGGGATTACAGATGTGCACCACCACGCCTGGCTAAGTTTTGTATTTTTAGTAGAGATGGGGTTTCGCCATGTTGGCTGTTCTCAGGTGATCCACCTGCCTTGGCCTCCCAAAGTTCTGGGATTACAGGCATGAGCCACCGTGCCTGGCCCAATATTCTTGCCTTTTCAAAAGAAATTATTCATGGGGGAAAAAAATCTCACTGAATTCAGCAGAAATGAATCAAGGGAAATCAAGAAATTGGGGCCATTTAATTAAGGTCACATGGGGGCAGGAGGTTCACCTTGGTGGCTTCCATTCCATGTCTAAAGGCTGGAGTTTTTCCCACAGCAGCAGCAGCAGGAAGACGCTGGAAAAGGGCAGAACGGGAGTGGTTCTCTGTGTGTCCAGGTGGAGGGTAGTCAGGGGCTCCCTGTGGGGCTGCCCCATGCAGCAACTGTGAGACACATCAGAGCAGCAGGGCTGGGGCAGTAACTGGGAGAGCTAAACATGCCTGGAGACCCTGGCTCTTGGTGTGGCAGACCAGCTCTGACTCTGTTGGTCTGAGAAATTAAATTTATACTTGAGACAGGAACCTCAATGACTTCTTGTGTTTTTAGTATATAAATTTATGACTGAACTGAGTTCTCCTTTTATTTTCTATCTCTGACCAGTAAAGAGTGTCTTTTTTGCCGAATGGTACCACTTAGGGACTCACCATGACTTGTGTGAGCCACTGACTCACACTGAATTTATTAGTTCCTTTTGAAAATAGAATAATAGTTTGTTTGTTTGTTTGTTTGTTTAAGACAGAGTCTCACTCTGTTGCCCAGGCTGTAGTACAGTGGCGCGATCTGGGCTCCCTGCAGCCTCCACCCCCCGGGTTCTAGCAATTTTCCTGTCTCAGCCTCCCAAGTAGATGGGACTACAGGCATGCGCCACCATGCCCGGCTAATTTTTGTATTTTTAGTAGAGACAGGGTTTCACTATATTGGCCAGGATGGTCTCAATCTCTGTGTTTTATGTTTGTCTCTCCTTCTAAATATGTCTGAGGATCTTAGGATAATATGTAAATAACAATTGATATTGTTTTGGCAAAAATGACTATTTGGCAAAAATGACTATTTGTAATCTTTATTCCACTTAATGGGATAAATATTTACATAGTGATTCGCACCAGACACTGTTCTGTTTTATGGATATTAACCCAGTTAGTCCTCATAACAAGTTTATGAGTTCAACTCATTACATTGTCAATTTTATAGGTGATGAAATGGAGGCAGAGAAAAGTTAAGTAATTTGCCCAAGGTCAATGGTGTTTAAATAGAAGTGTCAGAACACAAATCCAGACAGAATAGCTTGAGAGTTTAATTTGACCACTATTCTGTGACTGCCTTCTATGCAAATTGACTGTCAATCCATGTATGAAACAGTACAAAGCTTTTAGATGGAAAAAAAAGGTTCTGTTTTTTCCTCCTTAACTTACTGTTTCATCTTGTGCCACCCATCTCTTGGAACACCCATAATCACTTGGGAGCCCACAGGCCCAAGCATAAGTATGATTTGTTCAATATAAGGAAGCCTTGTCTATGGAAAGAAAATCTGAACTGCTTATCCCAGCTGCTACTGCGCTTCCTACTGCTTATAGCTACTCCCTTATGTCTATATAATTTTCTTATAATCATGATTTGTTTAGTTACCTTGGTTTCTTGAACAAAATGCCTTGCAGATGTGAATATTTCAAAGGCTGTATTCCTTCAGATAGTTTTATGGGTAGAAACAAACCTCCCATTTCACACTGAAGACATATTTTGCTTATTCAAAACCCTCCATAATAGGCTGAAAGGCATTTAGCCTGGACAAACAGGTTTGTCATGTAGTGTGAGCACATGTATGGACATCTAAACAGGACAAACAAAACAGCCTTTCATTCATGAAGTGGGACTATTTGGAGTATTGGTCATTTTGCTCTTCATTTCTGATGTATGAACTACAGTTATCTAATGAGTTCCCATTTTGCCAAGTATT